CATATCATATGTACAATAATAACATTATACATATATATATATATTTACATACATACATACATACATACATACATTACATTACCTTACATTACATATGTTAGATGATCACCTCTTTTTTCGGATTGTCATAAAATCTTATTTGTTCACATGGTGTGTGGAAAAAGTTTATGTGCCATATGGCTATATGTCAAAGCTGCACTTGGTGCACCAAGGCTGGTCTATGGTTTTTTAGCTATGAAGAAATTTACAGTCACATATCATATTATATCCACTACTAGTTACTTTTGATCCTGCCTACTGGTGTCTATTGTATATGCTGGTTGCTTGTGGTTGCAACTGATTGGACCGGTTTCCTAGCCTCGGGAAGTACTTGCGGGGATTTCATTGAGCCCCCTTTTGGGATTCATGAAACGCCAGGCTCGAAACATGATCGAAACATGGAACAGTCTTGGCAATCACAACTCTTACGTACTCTGCCCCTGAGGACCTTCACAACAATATACTCTCTGGTAATGACTAACAGTTTCTGGTTGGTGGTTTCAACCCCTCTGAAAAATATTAGTCAGTTGGGATGATGAAATTCCCAATATGTGGAAAAATAAAAGCCATGTTCCAAACCACCAATCAGATATGGTATATATTGAATATAGAGTTACCTATCATTAATCATCATTAACCATCATTAACCATTAATAACCAATAGTCTTTGCCATAATATCCATTATTAATATGGATAACCATTAATATCATAGTCTTCATACCCTCTGGTAATTTAACATAGCTATTGAAAATGATCATTTTTAATGGGAAAACTCACTATAAACGGCCATTTTCAATAGCTATGTTAAATTACCAGAGGGTAACCATTAATATTTTCATATGGCAATTTTTCATCCGAAAATCACCTATTTAACGACTGGGCCATGTTCAGCTCCAGCGCGTTGATCGCACTGGATCCCACGAACGGAGCCCGTTGAGGTACGATACAGGGGCCCTGTAGCTAACTGTTGGGATATCCCAGAAATACCATCTGGTTATTTAACATAGCTATGGAAAATCCATTGTAAATGGAGGTTTTACTGGGAAAATCATCTATAAATGGGCCAGTTTCCATAGCTATGTTAAATAACCAGATGGTAATAGGCAAAAAAAAGGCCAGAAATAAGATCAAGAGTTGTACTAACCTTAAAAGATTATCATACTATCAATAATCGAAGGAAGTTTAGAAGTCAAACTTACGACAATATGGACAGATGAAAAGCAGAGTAGGGGAGAGGCAGAGAGAAGAGGAAGATTAGAAGAGAGAAGATGAGAAGAGAAAGAGTCAGAAGAAAGAAGATACAGATGCGCGAAAAGGTAGGAAAGTCGCGAAACACTGTGTTTTTCCAATGATTTGTGGCTCAGGAGGGTCGAAAAGTAGGCTCGCTAAAGCGGCGGGTGCGGAGCCAGCTGGTCACAGGAGCGATGAAAAATTGCACGCCGTTGTGGCGCGAAGCACATTTCCAAGTCAAAAGGTACAAAACACCTCAGCGTCGGACGACTTTTGGAAGTTGCGATGTCGAAAAAGTGCACGCCGTTGTGGCGCGAAGCACATTTCCAAGTCAAAAGGTACAAAACACCTCAGCGTCGGACGACTTTTGGAAGTTGCGATGTCGAAAAAGTGCACGCCGTTGTGGCGCGAAGCACATTTCCAAGTCAAAATGTACAAAACACACCATTCTCGGACCACTTTTGGAAGTTGAGATGTCACGCCGTTGTGGCGCGAAGCACATTTCCAAGTCAAAAGTGTTAAAAACTGACGGTCTCGGACCACTTTTGGAAGTTCAGATGTCGAAAAAGTGTCGAAAAAGTGCACGCCGTTGTGGCGCGAAGCACATTTCGAAGTCAAAAGTGTAAAAAACTGAGGGTTTTGAGCCTTTTTTGACGTGAAGATGTCGAAAAAGTAGACATTGATTAACTTAACTAACTTGACTAACTTAACTAACTTCACTGACTTGACTACCCTAACTTCGACGACAACAGCAACAGCAACAGCAACAGCAACAACAACAACAACAACAACACCAACCACAACAACAACAACACCAACCACAACAACTACAACAACTACAACTACAACAACTACACGACAACTACAACTAGAACTACAACTACAACAACTACTACAACAACAACAGCAACAACAACAACAACAGCAACAACAACAACAACTACAACTATAACTACACAACAACTACAACCACACAACAACTACAGCTACAACTACAACAACAACCACAACTACAACAACGACAACTACAACTACAAAACAACTACATCTACAACTATATGACTGCAACTACACTACACTAATTACATTACACCACAACTACAACTCCACTACGCTACAACTACAACTACAGTTGCAGTACATCACACTACATCCAGCAGTTGTGGGTGAGGTGACCACTGCAACCATTGCAACCATTCCAGCAAACACAACTCCAACCACCTTTCGGTCAATCAGTGGATTCGCTCTGCCATCCGTGATTCACAACAACCAACGTCTCCTATAGGTTTCCTATTCTGAAACTTCCGCCACCGCCTTGTGCGGTACTACTGGTAGGTATCATAAAAATGGCAAAAAAGCCAAACAAACACTGAGCACAAGTTGACCATCACGATCCGTGATCAATCCCCAAGCAACATCCAAATGGTCCTCGGCAGGAAATTCGTGTAGGTCGGTGACCTGTGACTGGGGCATCGCAGTAACTGTAACTGGTCCCCGCTTCCTAGCCATGGGAAGCCCACTGTTAGCCATGATGATCCTCCAGAAATGGTTGGGAAACAGAAAAAACCCATCAGCCGGTTGGCTCAACGAGCCAACTTTCACTTCAGGAAATGTGACCCTGAAATTGATCCTTTTTGATCCAATTTTTTTGATGTTCCAATTGGTCCAGATCCACCAATCATCAGCAGAAATTGATCATCAAAGGGCCGAAGAAATCCACTGCCCCTCTCTGCCCCTCACCTTTTTCAGTGAAGGCATCAGGTCCAAATCCACCGCGCGCCGGTGGAAGCTGGCGTTCGTTGCGCGTTCGAGATTTCATGCGATCATTTTGCAGATCCAGATGTTACCCTCTGGTAAACGTTTACATAACTATGGAAAATCACCATTTTTAATGGGTAAATCCACTATTTCTATGGCCATTTTCAATAGCTAATTATGTAAACGTTTACCAGATATTACCAGACATCACCAGATATACACAAAGCTACCCCTATGCCGAGTAGTAGTGTCCCATTTTTTCTGAAGATATCAGTGTGTGAATTCTTTGAAAATGTGGCGAGACAGTGAATTCTTTGAAAATGATTTGGGGTCGGCGAGTTCAGTTGGGCGACACATGAAACGTGCTCCCCGAACCTATGACTGGACCGCCAAAGATCATGCAAAACAGATCAGGTCTGAGAATAGAGTCCAATTCCAAAGCTTGAATTATCATGTTCCCATCATTTTCCCATCATTTTCCCACCACTTTCTGACCATTTTCCCATCATTTTCCCACCACTTTCTGACCATTTTCCCATCATTTTCCCACCACTTTCTGACCATTTTCCCATCATTTTCCCATCATTTTCCCACCACTTTCTGACCATTTTCCCATCATTTTCCCACCACTTTCTGACCATTTTCCCATCATTTTCCCATCATTTTCCCACCACTTTCTGACCATTTTCCCATCATTTTCCCACCACTTTCTGACCATTTTCCCATCATTTTCCCATCATTTTCCCATCATTTTCCCATCTCTTTCCCTTCATTTTCCCATCATTTTCCCTATTCAAACATCTTCAAATGGCCATTTAACTGGGCTTTGTTTGCCCAGCGGTCGCATTGGTCGCTCCTCAGAGCCAGCTCCAGTGGTGCACCCCTCAAGGCATCGAAGCCGACGCGCAGCGTCAATGCTTCCAGGCCCAAGCCTAGCGCGGCAAGGCTCCGTAGTCGCTGGTTTTAGCTGGATAATATGATTACATATGATTAATGTCTCAAAGATTTTTTCAAAGTGATCTATGATTAATGTCTCAAAGATTTTTTCAAAGTGATCTATGATTAATGTCTCAAAGATTTTTTCAAAGTGATCTATGATTAATGTCTCAAAGAGTTTTTCAAAGTGATCTATGATTAATGTCTCAAAGATTTTTTCAAAGTGATCTATGATTAATGTCTCAAAGATTTTTTCAAAGTGATCTATGATTAATGTCTCAAAGATTTTTCAAAGTGATCTATGATTAATGTCTCAAAGATTTTTCAAAGTGATCTATGATAATGTCTCAATGTGATCTATGATAATGTATCAAAGATTTTTCAAAGTGAGCTATGATAATGGCTCAAAGATTTTTTCAAAGTGATCTATGATTAATGTCTCAAAGATTTTTTCAAAGTGATCTATGATTAATGTCTCAAAGATTTTTTCAAAGTGATCTATGATTAATGTCTCAAAGATTTTTTCAAAGTGATCTATGATTAATGTCTCAAAGATTTTTTCAAAGTGATCTATGATTAATGTCTCAAAGATTTTTTCAAAGTGATCTATGATTAATGTCTCAAAGATTTTTTCAAAGTGATCTATGATTAATGTCTCAAAGATTTTTTCAAAGTGATCTATGATTAATGTCTCAAAGATTTTTTCAAAGTGATCTATGATTAATGTCTCAAAGATTTTTTCAAAGTGATCTATGATTAATGTCTCAAAGATTTTTTCAAAGTGATCTATGATTAATGTCTCAAATATTTTTTCAAAGTGATCTATGATTAATGTCTCAAAGATTTTTTCAAAGTGATCTATGATTAATGTCTCAAAGATTTTTTCAAAGTGATCTATGATTAATGTCTCAAAGATTTTTTCAAAGTGATCTATGATTAATGTCTCAAAGATATTTTTCAAAGTGATCTATGATTAATGTCTCAAAGTTTTTTCAAAGTGATCTATGATTAATGTCTCAAAGATTTTTTCAAAGTGATCTATGATTAATGTCTCAAAGATTTTTCAAAGGTAAAGGGGTCGTAAAGTAGCGTCACGAAACCAGAAGGAAAATCAAGAGTTGTGCCACTTTGACAGAGCTGCTTGTGAGCTGGACCTAACTGAAATCAGGGCCTGAAGGTACTGTACCAAAACGTGGCAAAAAGTAGCAGTACCCTCTGGCAATGACTAACAGTTTGCTATTGAAAATGACCCAGTCGAAATAGTGGATGAATCCCCATTGATAGCATGGTGGATCTTTCCATCGTTTTCTGTAAACGTTTACCAGAGGGTAAATCCCATTAAACCACCATTAAACCACCATTAAATCCCATTAAATCCCATGTTTACCAGGCCGGGTAATTAGCAGTACAAATCCGCAAATCAACAGAGCTCCATCATCTTCGCTTCAAAAAACTTCCAGTCCAAAAAGTTTTTTGCACCTTCGTCCACTTCTTCGAGCAACCTGGGGCCGTCAAGCCGATTCACTGCTACTTGTTTCGATCCTTACACATCCGAAACACACTTGATATCCAGTGGTTAATAACTGACACATTTATAAAGTGGATAACTGGTTGGTGGTATACCTATCCGATATCCCTCTGAAAAATGATGGAGTGAGTAACAGTTGGGATCATAAAATTCCCAACTGTTTCTGGAAAGTCAATCCAAATTCCATGGTTCCAGTCACCAACCAAATAAATGTCACACTTGGTTAACACTTTCGGGATTGAAAGGAGACTGCCTCATTGGCGAATCCCCAAATTTTTCACGTTCAGCCGTTCAGCCGTTCAGCCATGAGACATCAGAGCAGATTCCCAAGCACCGGCCAAGCAACTCAGTGCCTCACAGGACTGGTCTGCCCGGTCTGCCGTGCACGGCAGACTGGGGACAGTGGATGGTTGAAGTTATTGATCTGTGGATTCCTTAAACCCAAAAAAAAATGAAAAAGATGCGGAATTTGATACAAAATCAACATGGTAGTTCGATGTTGTTGTTCCTCCATCATTTCCAGGTGTCCAACTTTTCTATCAGGGGTTGCTATTTTTGGTGTCATTCTCGCATCCCCAACTTGAGGAGCCCGACAATGTTGTAACTGGTGATGTTGGCTTTCAAGCCGCGTTCTTCCAAATCTTTCCTGCAACCAGAAAGAAATTCGAAGCAAAAGTTGCTAGAGGAATATTGATCACCTGATACCCCTTTTTGGTTGGAGTATGGAATGGTTAACCAGGGGCATAAATTTCTTCAATTTTTAACCTGATCACAGTTCAAAGAAAGTCACGTACCTCTCGAGCACAGTGGTATCTACGATGTCAAGGAACCTTCAGGCCGTTCCTAATGTTCCTAGCTAGAAACCAATTCCCAGCAGTACTGTGGATGGTTGCGAAATCCTGCACCAAAAGGATGGTTGAAACCCGAAAAAAATCATGGGATAAACCATCAACTGGCGCAGGATTTCGCAACCATCCAGAGTATGCTAACAGACGCCAGATCTGCTTCGGTTCCAGGTTCCCATACAAGAGTTGTAGGGCAGCAGTGGAGGAGGCGCTTCGGCTGCAGGCCTTGGAAACGGCGGCAAGTGGCATTTTTTCAAGACCCAACAGTGAAGCCCATGTTTTGGCAAAGTTAGCACACCATATATGTTTGAGTTTCTGATTGGCAAAGTTAGCACAGCCCATGTTTGATGATTACTGGTTTATGTTAGCAGCCCAATTTCAGCGTTTTGTTTGTGACTTTGGGACTTCAAAAGAATACGTAGTGCTTGCATATCACTGCATGTCACTTATGTACAAGAAGTGAATCGTTCCTGGCCAAAAACTCCAAAATTAAAAACACTCCAACTTGCTCTTCATCATGTGTCTGTCTCAAATACATTACATCTTCACTTGTAGAAAAACAAGTATATGTCTATGCATCTGAGTACTTATTCAATACAAAAAAACGTCACAGGATATTTTTTAGTTGTTGAGCAATTCTCAGCTTTGTTACCGCCATTTGGCTTCAGCTACCTGTTCAGTCAAAAGCCGCATGTGGCATTGCCAAGGTACCGTCAACGCCGCATTGTAGGCAATGAGATCTGCGTGGACGTCCGGCAAGCGATCCAAACGCATCAGTTCATCGATCGCCTCGCGGAACCCCAGAAGATGACAGGCAGGAGCTACACACAACAGACCTTTAAAAAATGGATTGGTTTAAAGGGAAAATCTACAGCGGAAACCATGGTGTTTACGAATTTTACCCCAAAAAAAAAGGATTTCCCTGTAGATTTTCCCTTCCAATGACATCTTAGCGACCCCAGGGATTTGAGTTCCTTCCTTCGTTGTACGTTGTATGTTGAGTGGTGAGTATGTCCCTCAGTAAGTCCCGGAACGGGCTGTCTTTGAGTTTCTGTGTGTTCATAAGTGATTGCATCTGTGCATGACACTGCAGCTTCTGAACGTCTAGTCTTACGGTCTTATGAGTATCAAATGCATGCCTTTGGCAAGAGTCTGACTCAGCACAGTCCGTGTGGGTCAAAGCTCCTGTGCTCTAGTGAATGTCAATGAGCAAAAGATGTTGGATCTATTTTTCTTCGTCATGGTTTTGATCTGTTTTGACCCATAACCATCTTCGATTCAAATCTCCTCCTCTGCCAAGCCATGCCCAAATCTGGCCTCTTGCCATCGGGTCGCATTGGCCTTGGAGGCACCCTACGGATGGCTCTGAAAATAGAGTACACAGGTACACAGAATTACCATCTGGTTATGACTAACAGTTCGCCATGGCAAATCAACATGCTATTAATAGGTAAACCATCTATTTCAATGGGCCATCTATACCATGGCTATGTTAAATAACCAGAGGGTACCCAGAAATTTCATTGTTTATCACTGTGGATCATCTCTTCTCCCTGCAAAAAAAAGGGAAAAAGCTTTGGGATACCCCCATTTTCATCACTTTTGGACACACCCAAATAGCGGCAGGCATTCAAAGTGAAAGCTGGCAGTTTGCTTCTGGAAAGGGAAGAAAGTATAGAAACGGTTCTGTATGGTTCAGTATCTCGAAAATAATGCCTTGCTCCTTCACTCACTTGACTCCATTTTCACAGTTTCAAAGACATACATAGTTCGGCTGTGGCTTTTCGAAAATTCTGATCTGCAGCCAAGGCGCCAATGCACCCATCAAGCTGGTGTGTGAGATATTGCTGCTTTTCAGCTCAAGCTCCTCGGGGCTCTTTAAAACAGGTCCACCAGGTCCACCAGGTCCACCAGGCCCCTCCAGCTCCATCGTTTCGGATCGGATCCTTCGGTCCTCAAAGAGAGCAAAGGTGGCCACGGCCAATCTCCAGTGGCTCGCCTGGGACGATCCCATGATTTTTGTTCAAATGTTTCAGAAAACCATGGTGGATTCATTGAAAAAAGCACACCACATGAAATTCATGGGGACCATGGCCGGCAGGGTGTTTTTTTAAAAAAAATTGGATGGGATGAATAGGATTCAAGCATTTTTTCAGCTGGAGTGATGGAATATCACGGACATTGTGGAAAACACGTTGAGGAATCATCCTGCATACCGGCAAGCCTCCCAAGCCGTGGCTCACAACAGATTGTAAAATCATCAAAGAGCCCTGGGCTACTCCTGACAGGGCTACTCCTACAAGTTGCTATTCTTTCAAAAAAAAAAACGCAAAAAACAGAAAAACTAAAAAAAAAACTTACGAAACAGAAAATTCGAGAATATTCTGTGGAATGAAATGGAATTATTTGGAATTAAAACAAATGAAAACGAATAGAAAGGAATGTTCCAGGAGTGTCCCTATGGGGATTGGTTGGAAATGGTTCCAAAGGTCCTTCATGCGCTTCCCCCATTCAATATCAATATATTTAATCCGTCGGATCTGCTGGGTAAACAGCCGCTCTGTTCATATTCATGTGAATGCAATCAAATCAATGCAACTCCAAATCATTTCATCTCAAAAGACTCCTGATGCAAGGTTGGACAGGTATTACTCCATCAGTTTTTCAACACACTTGGAACTTTGGAGGAAAAAAGAAGTCATCCTCTGCCATTTTGGCCATACCAGGCTTCAAACATCTGCGCAGGCACGCAGCGCTGTGTTTAGGGAGATGGTGTTGGGCCTCAAAGTGCGTCTGTCAAGGATCACTGACATAACTGCCCCTTGAATCGCAAAACATCAAAACCGCATACTCAAATGGTGGATATACATAATGATATATATATACAATGATGTATATATATATATACAATGATATATATATATATATACATATACAATGATAAATATATATATGGATATATACCATAATTGTGGATATAATATGGATGAAACATCAAAAATACACTTTCGATGTACACACATTTGATGACAAATGTCTGTGGATGTCTGTGGACTGTCTTGCCCTTGGCCCCTTGGCACTGCCATGCATAACTTTCGAGGGAGTTCGAATCGGGAGTTCGATCCTCGAGATCATGCCAGTAAATGGTTATACACAGTGAACATGTCCCCTAACATTTATCATCATTTATCTTCATGATTTATATAGTAAAATCAGTAATGATCATAAATGATGTATATAGTTTATACATGTTAATCATTTATCATCATTTATCTTCATTGATCATCGTTGATCATTCATCATCGAAAAAAACCCATCGATTCGCACCATGACTTGGGGGATATATAGCTGGATGAAAAGACTATCCCCAGTTTTTTCTCTACGATCATATGAAATCAATTGAAATCATATGAAATCCACAACATCTGTGAACTCAGACTGAGTTCCCATCTTCAGCCTTTCCTGGCAAAACTTCTGAAAATGTGTACCGATGGAAAGCTGGAAATTCCTCATTGTTTTCGTTGATTTAGTTGACTTTCCCAGCTAAGCCATGTTTGAAAAGCCGGCTTCAGGGTAGTTCTCCTATTGCTACCTGGACTTGCCATGGTCACATGTCGTTACATGAAATTTTCATAGTGCAATTCATGGGTGATGGCGGTGATGGTCATACCACGTGATGAAATTGGGAATCCAAACGTAATGGGACTGATATTGATATTTTATATATCAATAATATCCAAACATCAAAACATCATAGATATCATAATTGATATATTTGATCAATAATGGGAATCCAAAAATATCATCATAATGGATATATCAATCTCTGTTGATGATATTGATGGACTGATGATGATCAAGATGGGTAGATCATCCACATCAGAAAGCATGCAAGCTGTGTTCAAACGCTTAAAAACACCTTGTCATCGACGACAAATCAAAGACACCCTGAGGCCTAGACAATCTTTGAGGTCAACACCCAAACCGAGATCCTTGATATCATATTTCTATCATATTTCTATCAAAAAATATTCCTCCGTCTATTGAATTCGTCTATTTCATTTGGGGGTGCCAACTGTTGCCTGTCGAAAAATGCCTATTGGGTTCCATGGGTTCCATGGGTTCCATCTCCCAGAAATTCACCCACTCCTCGGTCATCTGCATCAGCAGCTGCAATACGTATGCCTCAGCGCACGCAGCGCGTCCCCGAAACAAGACTGACAATGGCGGCGCCGGCGGGTACCCAAATGCAGAATGTGACTGCCAACCACTTTCTTCTGTGACACAAATAGACATGCTGATACTAATGGACACTATACTTATCATACTTCCGAAAGCCAACCATTAAATGGACATGCTGAAAGCTTGAGTCAAGCTTTGGATCCCGTAGAAATCAAGGCGTGGAAGGCTGCTGTGTCTACACTGGGGAACCCAAACCCACTGGCTACCACTGCCCAGCGCCCCCAAGGCGGCGTTCATGACAGCCACATTGGGCTCCAAGTACGACTTGCGGGCCTCAGCCGGCATGGTCAGCATGGTCAGCATGGTCAGCATGGTCAGGCTCCCAGGCTCGCAGCCTTTTTTCAGCGTCAACTAATGGCATGGGAAAACTATGCTGAGACCATACGGGTTTTCCCGATGCAAAGGAAATCATCGAGGGGGGTCGGGATTGAACCCGGGCCGGACGAATTTCCGTTGAAAGGGTGGCCAACAGGGTGGCACCACATTTCAACGAATAATGGATGAAAATGGTGTGGTTTCACATTTGAAAAATTCCATCTCAGTCCAAAAAAAGTAAATTCGACATTGGTGTATGTTGTTTCCTGCTAGGTCCAAAATCACATGTTTAGGCAATATATTTGTATCTCCGCTTACTTTACAAACCTTTAAATTCTTGCTATTTTGGACTAGTGACTAGGTGAGAAGCTTGCCAGCGAAAGTGAAACTTCCGAATGCGGCCGCACCCACATCTTCTGTGCCCACAACCCTCAATATCATGAACTGATTGGGTTTGACCACTGCGTTTCGACTTTCCAACAAAGAAAAACGACACAGGCCGCAGCTGGGCTAGCAGAAAAGGAGGTAGCCCTTTTTCTGTCGAGCGATGAGGCTGTTTGTACAAACACCCCAGCGGTACCATCCGTGACATCCTGTGACCTCGGCCTAAGTCGGTCGAAAAACTGTGCCAATCGTCCCTTGATGTCAGAGCCAATCGTCATCGTCTGGCACTCTGTGCTGGTTGCAATGGACATGGCAGCACTAGTCAGCACCTGGTGCTGAGAGTTTGGTGGATCAAAAGATACTTATCAGGACATGTGTCGCATGTCTCAATAAGTCAAACATTTGTCAAGGCATCGGTCAAAATTGCCAAAGAGTTCTCAACGTGTCTGACATGTGGTGCTTGTCTCAGCACTGTCAACAGATGTATCAGTCCGTAACGTCCTTAAGTCAGCTGCTGGAGGTCAACATGTTTCCATTTATGGTCAGTTGACACATATTCTACTTCAGCACCTTTGTCTGCAAGTATATCAAACATGTGAAGACATGTGTTCAGGCCAGAAGTCAGCCACTTGCCAAGATATTTTTTTAGAGATGTGTCAATCAACATGCCAGACATGTGCTAACACATACCCCCGCACATAAAAGAGGTGTCGGGTAATATCTCAAACGTTTATCACTCTGCATGCTTGGATACATGTCCAGACATGTCAGTCCGTAAACCAGCATATCTCAGTCCATTTTTGGAGACTTGTTTGTAAAAATGAATGACATGTGTCAGTGCATATGTTCCTACAGACAGCTGTCTGGCAATACGTCAAGACATGGGTCAGTGTACATGTGAGGACGCATGCGTGCATGGCAGGAGACATGTCAAGCCGCGTGTTAGTTAATACGTCAGCCTTGTGTCAACGTATATGTCGGTCAAATTTCAAGTGTGAGTCGGCTCATACGTCTTGGAGACGGATGTCTGGCAATATGATGCAAGATATTCATATGAATATATATATATATATATGTATATATATATATTCATGTGTGTGTGTGTGTGTCATTGTGGGCATCAGGAAGCATGCCAGGAGATGTGTCAACAAGTCATGTGTCAAGGCATGTGTCGCAAGGCAATCAACCCTTTGCCCGACGTCATGTTAGCACACCAAGACATATGGACATGTGTCATCTGTCAAGTCATGTGTCAGTAAAATGTTCAGATAATTCTTAGTCAGCATGTCAAGCATCTGGGTAAATTATAATATTTCACCAATCTGAATTAAGGCCTCACATGGGGATGATTTCCCTTACTAACCATGATTCCAGAAGCATGTGTCGGAGCATCTGTTGTACAGGCGCAAGTCTGGGGTCAGACAGATCTCAGTGCGCTAGGACATAAGCCACGCGCGAGAAGGCGTGTCAAAATTTGTATGTCCGTATTTACATCATCCGCCAGTGAGTTTGTCAACAGATATGGGGGTTTCCATAGTCATGGGGGTACCCCAATAGCTGGATGGTTTACATAGAAAAACCATCTATAAATGGATGAGAACTGGGGGTACCCCCATGACTCAGGAAACCCCCATATGTCAATAGATAAGTAACTAAGATTAACTAAGTATCTAGCAAAATCATTGAACGTCTCGGACGCCTCAAGTTTGGGGAGATCACACTGGTCACGGTCAAGTCTCAAACAGACTCTCCCTGGACCAAGGGATGAAAACTGGATGACCAAAATTTGTCGTTACCTATCACTGCCCATTTTTTTGTTAAAAATGATGTAATGTCAACCCCGGATGAACATAAACCATGGTGTTTTTCTTTAGGGGGGTACTCCTTCAATAGTCATTTCATCTGATACTGATTAAAATTGTACCCTCCCAATTAAACAGCCGTAAACGGGGTTTCTTAATCCAGGCTTGACATCTCAGAATCAATGCACCTGTTCCTATCATCTCAGAATTATCCCTATCATCTCAGGGGCACAGCATCGGCTATTCAGCTACTGCAGTCTCACTTCTGCTTTCTTCCTGTCGATCCAGGTCGAAACAAGAATGAATCTTTACCAACAAAACACCATACGTCACGGCAAGTGGATACAGCCAGAGCCAGAACCTGAAGCGGAGTTATCTCCTAATGCAGCGGGTTTCGCCGTAAGAACCATGCCTCTTTCGATTTTCCAACTGGATCTTGTTCCTTCTGCGCTTGCCTTCCTGGTGGTCCACAGCTTAACGAGGTCACTTGGTCAACACACAAAAAACTGACCTCAACCATCTGTCGTGGAATAACTGAACAACAAGTGTTCGACACAGCAACTTGCCAGCTCCTGCTTGTTGCACAAGTGGCAAAACTCGCATGCATTGCCTGTGCACGAACTGAGACGAAACAAAGAGATCCGAGAACTGCTGCTCTGACGGCGCAATCTGTAAACCCCAGAGAAATCGCCCAGCCTTTCCAGCAACCGTCATTCTTGCGCGTGTAAAAGAGGCATGGGATGCAATTTGGTGAGTGTCTTTCCGGACGGCCATCCTGAGCTCAGAGCTTTTTCAAGCTGCGACGCAAGTTTTTCAGTGAGAAACTCAGCATTTTTTAATCCTCTTTCTACATATCCTCTTTCTACATCTTGAGTAAAAAGATGTAAAATGCCTGTCAGCCTAGAAAAAGCCTATCAAGCATCACCAATCTAACCATCAACCACCGGGTACCACCTGATACCCAACCACAACTGGCACCACTCTGCCGGTGCGGCCCGCCTTTGAATCTTGCCTTGGAGCGTTGGACATTGACGGGAGGCTGGTTTGTGACCAAAAATTTTGCGGAGATGGAGGACTCATGGAGGACTCATGGAGGGCTGATTTATGTGTATATATATGATATTTATATATAAATATATATATATGTGTTTATATATATATATATGTTTATACTTATTGGACTATATTTTTATACTTGGCTGTTTTCTGGGGTCTTTTCAGTCTTTTTGGTCACAACGATATTTTTTTCTCCTTTCGAAGTAGAGAGTGATTAAAAGAATGTCATGTTTACCATCCCCCAGTCATCACCATTTCTATAGGTGGTATGTAGAAACCATTCCCAGTCATGGATGGTTTATGGCATTGTTTTACCCACAGAGAAATGTGAAGATTCTACCCATCGAGATCAAGCAGTCAGTCCCTCCCTGCGGACGCGCACTCTACAGTCTGGCCGTCCAGCTCTGGCAGGACGAGCGGCACCCCAAAGTGCAAAATGACCTCAAAAAACTCCGCGTTTTGCACCCGCAACACCCGCGTTTCACCCGCAACATCCGCAAGCGAAACGCGAGGACTCCTCAATTCTTCCATATATTTCAAGTATATGTCCATATCACATTCACACAACGCGAACCTTCTTCAAAGAGAAGCTACGGGCAGGCTTGTCTGCCTACCCGGCCGGGTCAAGGAATGTCAAAGATGATCGAAGAATTTTAGAATTCTGAAGGTTTATGGAATTGTCGATCATTTCTCATGCTTTGTGCTGTGGATTGTCACCTATGACCTTCCAGCTCCGTGAGCGAGTAACACAAGTGCCAAGGACACAACGTCACAACGGCCATAATCATAATCTTTTTGGAAATCCGGCTGTGGTTCATTGATGTTTAAGGTTTTTGTTGTCCTCTTTACTGACAAATCCTCAAAAACATGGGAGTAGAACCAAGAAACATACATGATCAATTGGGTTTGGATTCAACATGGCGCATTGAAACCCTCGGGGCGCCTTTTCCATGAGGTATTGTTCATCTTCGCAGATGTTCCTCTCCATTTCTGAGCAGTCCTGACACCGAAAAGCCCCAGTGGCCCGAGCCCAAGGCCGCTGCTCCTTTTACCGGGCCGAACGTTCCCTGCCTCGGAGCAAAGAGTTGATGGTTTCATAGGACGGGTCCAGCAACCCAGTTTTTCTCTTTGGTCGTCGTCAATCCCGAGGTGTCGCTGATCTGCTGGTGCTGCTATCCCTGGTATAGCTGGTATAGCTGGTTTTTCGCTGGATGCTCAAAAACCATCCACTTCCTAACCATCCCCAGAAAATAGCTTCCTATAACCATCCATGGTATACCCTCTGGTAATTTAACATAGCTATTGAAAATGGCCATAGAAATAGTGGATTTTCCCATTAAAAATGGTGGATCTTTCCATAGTTTTTTGTATGTTTACCAGAGGGTAGCTGGTGCTGGTGCTGGTGCTTCCTAACCATCCCATGGTCATCCCATGGTAGGCGGCCGGATGACCAGGAGCCGGAAAAACTGCAGAAACTTTCCAGAATACCTGTGCCAAGGATAGATATATGGTAGGTAAATACCTGATAATACTAGATATATATATATACACACATAATTATATATAATTATGTATAACTATATATAATTATATATGATTATATATAATTATATGTATATATAATTATGTATAATCATATATATATATATATACAACATATACAACATATACAACATATACAACATATACAACATATACAACATATACAACATATACAACATATACAACATATACAACATATACAACATATACAACATATACCTGTGCAGTGATGCTTGTAACCAGCAGTGATGCTTAGACTTCTGGCATGAATCAAAGAGGCCCACGACAATTGGATGGTCCAAGCTTACCCGGCCCAACCGGCTTTGGGCCCCAAACCCAGGCCAGCAATGGCAGGGCCTCATGTCGAAACGCCGAACATATCAAGACCCATTTCGGTGGACAAACATGTCCCGAGTTCCACATTTGAAATGCTGTCGTTTCATTGAAAAAACAACGGTTACACCACCAGGTTTAAAACGACTAAGCTAGAAAATGTCTTACAGAATTGTTGGACAAAGTATGATTCAAAACAGATCGCAACTGTAGGTTCAACTTCGTACCAGCACAGCATGCACAGCATGCAAAGCACCCCTTGTTTCCAATTTCTTTCCGGCCGCTGCTTTTTTGGGGCCAGACTCGCTCCCATTGGCTTGCTCTTTCCTGAGACAAGGGCGAGGACGCTGGCAAAGAGTTGGAGATTCACCATGCAATTTCCATGGTAACTTGCAGTCACATCAGTTAAGGCACACTGCCAAAAATTCAATCAGCCATCCGCATGAAAGGACTCTGGTAAGCATACATGTTTTGAAGATGTTTAAAGAATGATATGAATTGATATGATCCTATGTGTCAAGGTGATAATCTGAAAATCGCTGTCCTGAACATGTCTTCACGCCACTGGCCTGAGCAATGATAGAGCTGCTGAGCGCCGGAAGGCTAGGAGATTCCTGCAGACTGGCCCGTCCGAATTTGAATTCTTTCCCCTCTCACCAAACAGGTCACAACTCACAACCTTTTTTTTGCAATTGTTTGCATCCAAAAGGGACTCTTGAAATATATCATAATATATCAATCATATATCAATAATATATCAATCATATATCAATCATATATCAGAATAGATCATAATATGAAGCACCATTCAGCATCTGCTCATTGAATCCATTCAATCAGCAAGCCTGCAAGATCTCCAGCACCAGTTCCCACTGCTGTGCTCGCCCCAAGGCATCGCTCAAAGCACCAAAAGACACCACGTCGGCAGCTGGAAGAAAGGCCTCTTGTATCGTGCAGTCACTTCGAAAAAAACTTGGGAATCATGAATTTAGTGATATTTTTTTTCAGAATCTCCAACATGATAGTATAATCATTATTACCCTCTGGTTTTTTATATAACATAGCCATGGAAAATCACCATTTTTAATAGGTAAACCATCTATAAATGGGCCATTTCCCATGGCTATGTTAGTCATAACCAGAGGGTAATCATTATTAATCCCTCGAAAAAAAACACAGCACCATTTGGATCACAAAACCGGTCACAAAACGGACACGGCTGAATTGGCGCTCGCTGCGCCTCTTGTTTCATCTCCCTCACCTCGGGAAAAAAAAACAGAAATGATGGTATGACTTTAAGCCATGTTATGACCATGGCATATAATATAGTATAATATATTATAATGCACTACAATACAAAACAATACAATACAATGCAGTACAACGCAATACAATACAATATCATATGCTGTGATACAATACAATACAATACAATACAATGCAATACAATACAATACAATAATCATATGATGTGATACAGTATAACATAGTATGGTATAGTATAGTCAAAGGAAGTTGGGAAGCAATTTCCGAGTTACGAATGACTTTTTACTTGGTGCAATTGACTATGATGAAGGGTGGTAGATCCTGTAACAATACATAATGTACCAATACATCACAAACCAATAAGAAGCAATGAAATTGACCTTGAGGAAGGGTGGTAGATCATATAACAATACATAATATAACAATACATAATGTACCAATACATAACAAAAGAATAAGAAGCTATGAAATTGACCTTGAGGAAGTGATGATGAAGGGGAGTGGTGACGAAGGGAAGTGGTGAGGAAGGGAAGTGGTGAAGAAGGGAAGTGGTGACGAAGGGAAGCGGTGAAGAAGGGAAGTGATGATGAAGGGGAGTGGTGACGAAGGGAAGTGGTGACGAAGGGAAGTGGTGACGATGGGAAGTGGTGACGAAGGGAAGTGGTGACGAAGGGAAGTGGTGACGAAGGGAAGTGGTGACAATGGGAAGTGGTGAGGAAGGGAAGTAGTGAGGAAGGGAAGCGGTGACGAAGGGAGGTGGTGACGATGGGAAGTGGTGACGATGGGAAGTGGTGAGGAAGGGAAGTGGTGAGTTGGGGAGGAAGCCGGAGCACGAAACCTTGTGTTTTTCCGTGTAAAGTGGCTGCAGGCGACGATGAAAGGTACCTCGTGTGTGCGACGGGTGCGGCTGCGGTCGTTTCTGTCGCGAATTGTTCCTCCTATGTGTTTTGCAACGAGTGGTTCTTCCTGTGTGCGTAGTTCTATGCGCTTCTTGAAGCTGTGGTGGCAGATCGCATTGGAATGGCTGCATGATTGTTGTCATTTGGTGTTGCCACGTCCGTAGATAGGTGCAGGTATGCTACGGGATGCTGCGAAACGCAGTGTAGTGGCTGCATGAATGTTGCATGGGCTATGTTTTGGGGAGGAAGCCGGACCACAAAACCTTGTGTTTTTCCGTGTAAAGTGGGTGCAGCCGGCGATGAAAGGTACCTCGTGTGTGCGACGGTTGCGGCTGCGGTCGGTTTATCGTTTTTTTTTTGCCGCAGTGTCACGGTGGCTTCAAGCTGCTTTGGGTGTGGTTGTGTGTGCGTAGTTATAGGGTGTTTTGGAATCTGTGGTTGCAGATCCCATTGGAATGGCTGCATGATGTTGCATGGGCTATGTTTTCGGGAGGAAGCCGGAGCACGAAACCTTGTGTTTTTCCGTGTACAGTGGCTGCAGCCGGCGATGAAAGGTACCTCGTCTGTGCGGTGGTTGCGGCTGGGGTCGTTTCTGTCGCGAATTGTTCCTCCTATGTGTTTTGCAACGAGTGGTTGTTCCTGTGTGCGTAGTTCTATGCGCTTCTTGAAGCTGTGCTTGCAGATCGCATTGGAATGGCTGCATGATGTTGCATGGGCTATGTTTTGGGGAGGAAGCCGGAGCACGAAACCTTGTGTTTTTCCGTGTAAAGTGGCTGCAGGCGACGATGAAAGGTACCTCGTGTGTGCGACGGTTGCGGCTGCGGTCGGTTTGTCGTTTTTTTTTTGCCGCAGTGTAACGGTGGTTTGAAGCTGCTTTGGGTGTGGTTGTGTGTGCGTAGTTATAGGGTGTTTTGGAATCTGTGGTTGCAGATCCCATTGGAATGGCTGCATGATGTTGCATGGGCTATGTTTTGGTGAGGAAGCCGGAGCACGAAACCTTGTGTTTTTCTGTGTAAAGTGGCTGCAGGCGACGATGAAAGGTACCTCGTGTGTGCGACGGTTGCGGCTGCGGTCGGTTTGTCGTTTTTTTTTTGCCGCAGTGTAACGGTGGTTTGAAGCTGCTTTGGGTGTGGTTGTGTGTGCGTAGTTATAGGGTGTTTTGGAATCTGTGGTTGCAGATCCCATTGGAATGGCTGCATGATGTTGCATGGGCTATGTTTTGGGGAGGAAGCCGGAGCACGAAACCTTGTGTTTTTCCGTGTAAAGTGGCTGCAGGCGACGATGAAAGGTACCTCGTGTGTGCAACGGTTGCGGCTGCGGTCGGTTTGTCGTTTTTTTTTGCCGCAGTGTAACGGTGGCTTGAAGCTGCTTTGGGTGTGGTTGTGTGTGCGTAGTTATAAGCTGTTTTGGAATCTCCGGTTGCAGATCGCATTGGAATGGCTGCATGACTCTTGTCATCTGCTGTTCTGGTGTTGTTCTGTGCGTAGATAGGTGCAAGTTTGCGAGTTGATGCTGCGAACCGCATTGTAATGGCTGCATGATGTTGCATGGGCTATGTTTTTGGGAGGAAGCCGGAGCACGAAACCTTGTGTTTTTCCGTGTAAAGTGGCTGCAGGCGACGATGAAAGGTACCTCGTGTGTGCGACGGTTGCGGCTGCGGTCGGTTTGTCGTTTTTTTTTGCCGCATGTAACGGTGGCTGCAAGCTGCTTTGGGTGTGGTTGTGTGTGCGTAGTTATAGGGTGTTTTGGAATCTCGGTTGCAGATCGCATTGGAGTGGCTGCGTCAAGGTTGCTTGCCGCCGCGGCTGCATGCGTAATACTATTGTCTTTTGCAGCTGAAGATTGTAAATCGTATTGGAGTGGCTGCATCCAGGCTGCGATAGTCATTTGTCAGCAGATTTTCGCAATTTTGGCGCTAGTAATTTTCCTTTTAAAATTCCTTTTAAAAAATGCTTCAAAATCGTCTTTTTTCTGCTTTGGCGTCGAGATCCGGTTTTGGAGCTGCAATTTCCGACGCCGTTGCGCTTAGTTCTATTGTGATTTGCAACTCAGTCTCTGCAGATCGCGTTGGAGTGGCTGCCTCAAGGTTGCTTGCCGCCGCGGCTGCATGCGTAATACTATTGTCTTTTGCAGCTGAAGATTGTAAATCGTATTGGAGTGGCTGCATCCAGGCTGCGATAGTCATTTGTCAGCAGATTTTCGCAATTTTGGCGTTAGTAATTTTCCTTTTAAAATTCCTTTTAAAAAATGCTTCAAACTCGTCTTTTTCTGCTTTGGCGTCGAGATCCGGTTTTGGAGCTGCAATTTCCGACGCCATTGCGCTTAGTTCTATTGTGATTTGCAACTCAGTCTCTGCAGATCGCATTGGAGTGGCTGCCTCAAGGTTGCTTGCCGCCGCGGCTGCATGCGTAATACTATTGTCTTTTGCAGCTGAAGATTGTAAATCGTATTGGAGTGGCTGCATCCAGGCTGCGATAGTCATTTGTCAGCAGATTTTCGCAATTTTGGCGTTAGTAATTTTCCTTTTAAAATCCCTTTTAAAAATGCTTCAAAATCGTCTTTTTTCTGCTTTGGCGTCGAGATCCGGTTTTGAAGCTGCAATGCCTGTGTGGAAAAGTTTGTGTGTAAACGCTTGCCATGTGTAAAAGCACTGTGTGCAAGTACTGTGTGTAAGTGTTCTGTGTCTAAACGCTTGCTGTGTGTGAAAGCTTGCTGTGTGTAAAAGATGTTGCGTGTAAAAGTTTGCTGTGTGTAAAAGCTTATCTGTGCATGTGTTAAAAGTGTCTCTGTGTAAAAGTTTTTTTTGTTTGTGTGTAAACGCTTGCCATGTGTAAAAGCACTGTGTGTAAGTGTTCTGTGTGTAAACGCTTGCCATGTGTAAAAGCACTGTGTGCAAGTACTGTGTGTAAACGCTTGCTGTGTGTGAAAGCTTGCTGTGTGTAAAAGTTTTGTGTGTAAAAGTTTGCTGTGTGTAAAAGCTTCTCTGTGTAAAAGTTTCTGTGTGTGTGTGTAAGCGCTTGCCATGTGTAAAAAGCACTGTGTGTAAGTGTTCTGTGTGTAAATGCTTGCTGTGTGTGAAAGCTTGCTGTGTGTAAAAGCTTCTCTGTGGAGTGAAGAAGTGTGGGGAGTGTGAAGAAAGCAATGAGAAGTGTGAAGTGTGGACTGTGACGTGTAAAGTGTGAAGTATGAAGTGTGGAGTCTGAAGAAAGCAGTGAGAAGTGTGAAGCGTGGAGTGTAAAGTGTGGAGTGTGAAGTGTGGAGTGAGAAGTGAGAAGTGTGAAGTGTGAAGTTTGGAGTGCGAAGAGTGCAGTGTGAAGTGTGCAGTGTGGAGTGCGAAGAGTGCAGTGTGAAGTGTGGAGTGTGAAGTGCGAAGTGGAGCTTCACATGTGACATGTGAAGCAGGACACAACTTTCGCAGAGTGCACGCACGCACGGGCTTGGCTGGCGCACGGCGCATGCAAGTTCTATAGATGAGAAAGATCTTATATATATCTTTAAGGATCTTTAAGGCAACTTCCGCCCCGCCTCGTGCGGGTACTACTGGCACAGTACCATATTATACCTCTAAATCCACCGGTTCATCATTTCCCTGCTGTGTCAAAATGGGTGTACATATATTATCCCATTTTCGGACACGCCCAGAATTGACATCCAAATCAGAGCTAGGATCCAGCTGATTTCTGCAGGAGATCTAGCTTTGAAAGATTGGCGATTAGTCCATGCGGCTCGCGGGGAAGTTCAGTGCTCAGGAAAGTGGTTTTCTGATGAATCCATTGACCAATCAACAGTTCCAAGTGTATGTAGGGAAGGATCTGTTTCATCATGCTTTACGTATTTTTACGTTGGGTCATCTTAGTTCCAAGTGTTTTTATGTGATTTCTCTGCTAGGTCTATCTAGGTCTGCTCGAAACACATGGAGACGGAAGAATTGGAGGAACACTTCAGGACCCACTGGAGCTGTGATGCTGCTAGTGCTGAGCATCCTAAGAACAAGGGCCAAAGATGGCAGTGTGACTGGGCCATCGCAGCATATCGCAGCAATTTGGCTCCCAGCTGTCCCAGCTGTCCCAGTTTTTTCCGACATGTCCCATGGCTCTGGGGAAGTGCCTGGATGGCTTCAGTCCTTCCGAGCAGCTGCACGACTCTCCCAGTCTCGCATGTCCATGTCGAAGCGCCGCCGAACCTCGAGGATCTCGAGGATCTCGATCTCGAAATCAAAGGAGTCCAGGAAATTCTCGAAACAATCCAGGGAATCCAAGAGTCTTGCTCTCCTTAGCCAAGAGCAGTCATTTATTCGGGATGCAAGGCGCTCAGATCACTCAGCTGAAGCAAAGTGACTGAAGAAGTGACTGAAAAACGCCTGTTGCATGGGAATTTGACTGGTTGTGGGTGCTTTCGGCAAAACGTGTTCCATTCAAGTGTGGGATGATCAGCGAACCAAGAGACTACAGAACAAAAACATGCGAATAATGATGTTCGTAGTGAAGAGAGCTCAGGTTTTCTTTTGACATGCTTGTATCCCAAATTTGGATCAGGAGAAAGGAGTCTTCAAATTGAGCTGAATACCGACAAACACTCCTGAAGCAATGGGAAGGCAACATGAGTTGGGAAAATGAGAGAACTAGTAACTAGCAACAAACTATATTGGATGAAGAGTGTTTCTCTTCTTATCCAAGCAACCGTGAGTTTTCAGCCCTTGCATTTATCAACGCACTTTAAAAGCATTCGAGTTCCAGTCGCCTTCCAGTATCTTCCGGTCGCCCAGTCGTGGAGTTCTGGATGTTGGGGGCCAAGAACTTGGTGATGCGATTGCTGTGGCGCTTGCGGCTGCGTGGCCCAGCCTGGCCAGCAGCTTGCAACGCTTGCACTTGGGTGGCAACAACATAAGCGATGAAGGACAGATTCTTACAGAATAGACAAAAATAGATGGCCTGTTGGAGCTAGAGCAGCTAGGAGCTGCAACATGATGTGCCCAGATACTGTGGTGTTCTTAACCAACATCGAGTGATTCATCACAAACGCAATTTCCAAGCTTAAGGATCATAAGGATTCTACTGCAAGCAGAAGAATGCTGGAGCTGGCATTGTTTGGTGGTGTTGTGTGCATTGCAGGAATGGTTGCATTGATTGCAGCAATTGAAGCACATGGCCCTTCCCCATCCAAGCTGCGTCGTTTGAACCTTCGCGGAAACAATCTTGGGCCAGCTTCGGTGGAGGCCTTTTGGGCACCATGATGCAGAGAGAGTATCATTGCAACTTGAGGGCTCCACAGAGGCAACGGGAACGTGGTGTCACAGTCCTTGTGTTGGGAGGCCTTGGCTTCGCTGTTGCCATTGCTGCCCAAGTCATTCGCTTAGTTTCTATGGGCTTTGTGAGACAGGGCCTGACTGATTTGTTCCACGTGAGGTTGGAATCATTGGATCTCGGAGGCAATGCTTTGGAGAATTCTACAGCCCAATTCCCCGGTTTGCGAACTTGGTTCTGTCCGGGTGCCCAGACAAACTATTGTTTCGTTGCAATGGTTGGACATGTGACTAGTCATGACTAGTCTCAATCTTGGTTTCAGCCATGGAGTGGTATTGCAGAGCTTGGGGCCTTCCCATTGAACTCTCAGAAGTGGGTTCTGTTCACTTAGGATTTGTTCCCACGTCCCAAGCTGGGAGCCAAAGCCAACGCACACGAAGTTTGCGTTGCTCTTGACAGCCTGGTGAACAGCGCCGGGCAACAAGTGCAATTCAAGGCCAATGAATGAGTCTGAGTGTACATATTTCAAGAAGTCACTGGTGACTATATATGTATATACGTATATATGTAGATCATGATATACATACATAATCATACATATATATTTGTACGTAGTTGTAAATATGATGTGAAGACTTTGAAGAGAATAATTTCAGCTGTGTGCTAGCCACAAGCTGAAGACGTTCGCAGAATGATTGCCTTCCTGCACTGAGACTTCTTGGTGCAGTGACACTGGACACTGGTTGACGAACGGTGCCTGTCACAAGCGGTGATACCCAGCTAAGAATATTATACATGGCCAGTGTTTTTTTATGTATTGTTGTATTTACCATGAACAAATTAGAGTGACAGATTCTCGGTCCAAAGTAGAGGTAGGGTGCCAATGAAAGGTTCAGATGCGAGTCGTGGAAAAGACGCGGCACTTGTGGAACCGTGTGGAACAGGGAGTGAGGGACCATCACAAGATGTTGCCTCCAGCCCATGCCCAAATCTTCTCCTTTCATGTTGGTTTGCCCAAAAACCGGGTAGAGTTCTGTATAGTTCCAAAAATTGCCATCCAATTCTCATTGTCTCCATTTCATCGGTCCCCACCGAGTCCCCACCCCATTTTCAATTCAAATGCATAGCTGTGTTTGACCGGGATGCTGCAGGAAAACCAGCAGCACAGCCTGGACTTCCATTTGGGAGAAGGGAGCTGAGAAAAGTCGAAAACCAGGCCGCAAAATGCAGCACGGTTGGTTTCCAGATGTGTTGCTATTCGAAAGCAGTTTGTGATAGTTTGTGTATATTGACAAAAATACCTATACCACCGGAATCATTCCAAATTGCGTTTTTCTTATTGTCCTTCCCTTGAAGTTCAGCTTTCAACCGTTGCAAAGAAGAGTTTGCTGTTGACCGCTGCTCACTCAGCGCGCTTCACTCGACAAGGTTGGAACAAACCAAAATGCAAAGTGTCAAGTCTTCTCCATTTTCTGGAGGGCCCAACAACCCCAAGACCTCGACCTACACGAGCATCTCAGTGTGGAAAGCACAGCTTGTCGGCAGATGTCCATGGTATCCATGTTGCCAAAAGGCAAGTCATGGAGCTTGGAAGGTGATTTGCCGTGAATTCTTTGGATGTTCTTGGTGCTGCTCCTTTTCTACAAGCTTTTGTTTGATCCTATTTGGAGTTCTTGGAGAGGGCTTGCCTTAGTTGCATGAGAGCGGATTGTCACAGACACGACACAAGAGCAGCACAAAAGAAGCGAAAAGAAGCGTGATTTGGGAATCAAAGATGTGACTATTCGACTTCTTCCAACGCTCTTCACCGGATACGTCAGGGACAATGGTCACATATGGATACATATGGTCACTCTGTGTTTTGGCAAAAGATGCTTTCAATCTCAAGCCAAGGGGACAACTGTTTTGATGAGTTGCTCTCATCAAAGCCATCTACTGTAAGCTTTTCTGTTACTCCTGCCAATGCATGAAAGATCAACCAGGCAACTTAAATCAAAGAAACAATCACATATTAAATGTGATCATACCCAGTCCAGGTAGCAGGCCAATGAGCAGCTGATTTGTGCATTCAGGATGACAGTGTGGCATGTTCAGCACAAAGTGCTCAGATGCATCACACCAGCAGCATCACCATTTCTGTCATAGTTTGATGCCTCGTGAAGCCTTGTGAATGGCAGAAGAGCAGGCAAGAAACTGGTGTATTTGTACCTTTGACATCCTTTGACATGATGTTCCCTGGTGACGAATAGTTTAACCATCAACCTGACTAGATTAAAACTGATGAACATGATGAACATTGATCATCAGTGAAGGAGCAACCGCATAAAGAGTCTGTGAGTATTTAACCTCAGAAAGTGTCCTGCCGCGGCAGTGCTTTTGATTCAAGGGTTGTATGAAGCAGGTTGCGTTCTCGGTCACGGTGCTGTAACACCAAGAGGATCCAAGAGAAACAGTTCAACAGTGCAACATGATACGAGTCAACAAAGGAAAGTTCAGACATGTTCAAACTACTATCCTTCTGGTATGCAATGAAATCAATTACAAAGAGCTTGAGCAGGCATGACATATTCGAATTAATCTTAAAGTGTTTGAAACAAGCAAGGTCCATGGGGTGTGACCACAAGTCTGTTCTGAGTTTCAGAGTAGTTTGTGCAGCACTTGTTTTCTGTATAGCTGAAGATTGCACTGGGTTTGTCGTGTACGGAGCCTATTGTTTCCTCTTGCAGCTTCAACTTTGGCTTAGGGATTCCACAATCATTGCACAGCGGAAAACAAAGTTCTATTCTGAAGCATCATTCGACCTTCAGACCTTAGGAGTATACTATAGTATAGTATATAAGCGATGCAAATCATGCAGGAATATGCAGGATCTATCTTATTTTCCATTTTTTCCGAATAAACTGAATCAACAGCCCCAAGATGCTCGAAGTTGCAACAGTAACTCACATTTTACCAATTCATCGCACACAGATGACTTCCAATGGTGGATGGATCCAACGTCTGTGAATCTACTGGACGATTCGACTTACGATCTCAGCTGATTTCGCAGTGACACACAGGTGAATTGGACGTGGCTCAGCTAGAGGCTGAGCCACACCAAAGATCACCAAACCCTACAGAAATGCAAGCAGCGGGCGTTCAATGCGCATAAAGCACAGTTCCAGTCTGAGGTGGAATTGTTGAACGCATCTTTTCTCGCTTTGATACAGCTTTCCGAAGATGATGCCTTCACTTTGGCAGACACTTTCGAAAAGAAGTTGCTCTTGAGAGCCACGGATTCCATCCAATTTGGATTGAAATTGGCAGATCCTTGCATGAAAAGACATGAAACGACTAATGACATACGTGGCTGGCATGATTTGCTTTGCTTGTCAGCCTGAATGGAGTGCTTACGTTTGGCGTAATGGCCTTGGAGAAGTGGTGGGGCTGTGGAGGGTTTGGTCGGGCTGTCCAGGATGCATACCTTCACATCATGGTTTGGCCAAACGGCTCCACATAGCGTTGCCCGACTTCTCCATGTTCTTCAGTCGTGTAGAGATTTGACGTTGGCTACGGAGCGTCCATGCACCCCATTCTGTCGCAAGGTGCAATAAGTGTCCGGCGATGTCCGGCGAGTTTAGAGGAGGAGAGTACAAACAAATCGAACCAAAATTCCGCAGTTTCTTCAAATAAGACATATAAAATGACTTCAAGGCCGTGGAGGTCTACAACAATGGCCTTTTTGCCGATCGCAAGTGCTACTGCTTTGCCCACGGTGATGCCAAGACCGCAAGCGCCGCCGACATCTCCAGCTCTTGCTTTGGATCCTGGTGAGGACGGACTCGGTGCAGAGTTTACCTTTTTATGAACACGTTGTGAAGTTATGAAGCTTATCTGAAATGTTATGAAATGTTGTCAAACTTCAAACTTCAGGCCAGATTTTTGCTTTGATATTGCCACCTCATGAAAGGCCTGACCAGACTATTGACCAAAAGTTGCTGCCCTATGGGTTTGAGGGAGTCAGCAAAGAAGTTTGCAAAGCAAATCTGATCCCAAACAAGTCCGTTGCCAATTGAGGGCACCTTGCTTCTCAGGTGCATATGCAATCAATATCAATCAGACAAGATTTCGAGAAAAGAATAGTGTGCGATGCAAGGCATTTGAAGGTCATTGAAGGTCTAGTGATATTGACTGATGTCGCTTCGAAAACTGCATGACACATTTTGAGCAATTCTCCTGCCACAGAGGCTGCAAGAAGGGAAGTGACAAGATTGCTCGTCAAGCTTGGTATTCCTGGCATGTTAACAGTGCAGCAACACGACTGCTGATTTTGGCCAGTGGGTCGTTCTGCTGGCGTGCTGGCCCCAAAAGCAGTAGCTGTTAAAGCACTCGCTATTGCTGGTATGAACATAGCATAATTGTTGCAGAGCATTTTGAGTGTCCAGACATATCAGACATGCCAGATGTGGCCAATGCAGCCATTAAAAGGTCAAACTTCAAAGCTGAATCCTGATGATTTTGGAGCCATCAGTCTTTCTGGGTTTTGCTCCGTACCTCGGTCACCGAAGCCTGCAGATTTGTGCAGCTAGCTGTCGACAAAGCTTCGATCATGCTTATGTGTCTGATGTGTGGCACGCAGTGGATTTTTCTCAGTGGCGACCATTGGAGGGTCACATAGAACCTGGAGATATGGATTTGATCTTTGCGCTCAAACGTGTACCACCTGGGCGTTTGCGCCGGTTGGTCTTGCGAAGCCGGCGTATCAGCAACGATGGGTTCAGTGCAATCTTGCTGATGCAGAATCAAGTAGAAGAACTTGTGATAGACACCAATCTGACACATCTAGGTGGGGGGTTCCTAAAATGTTGGACCCGAAACTCATCCAGCTGTTTGGTATTGCCGTGTTGTGTCTTAATATTAATGGTAGAACCATGCAAAAACCATGGTGAAAAGGGGCCATATCCCTTTCAAAAACCTCCAGGTAGTGCCAGTTGCAGTTGCCTCTCTGGCGATGCCCTGGCTTTGGCGCCAAGCTTGCGACGCTTGGAGTTGCTGGGTCTTCCTCTCTCGGCCCTCGCCATGTCGGACGGGATGGACGGGCGGGTCTCGCTGGAGACGTTGGTGTTGCAGCTTCCCACGCTGCAAGATCTTCAGGCCACCTGGAGGGTTGATGTCAAGAAATATCAAGGAATGGACGGGAGCAGGGGGAGCTCGCCCCACTTCAAAACGCTACAAAACAAGATGGTTCCGTATGGTTCCAGTCTTTGGACAAGCTACTCAGAAGAGAAAAGAATATGTGGTGGGGTAATACATGGGTGCATGGATGCTCCGCACATGGGGGATTCCATAAATGAGGATACGGGGATACCCCAATAGCTGGATGTTTTATAATGGAAAATCCTTTATTAAAAAAAATGATTTGGGGGTACCATGGGGTACCCCCATTTCAAGAAACCTCCACAGTTACCTGAACTCTTTGGTGTAAGTGTCCAGGCAATCCCAGGGCTGAAGACATTGAAGATGCTTGAAGCCTCTCGCCTGCAGCATGCAGACAGCTGTCCTCCTTTTTTGTGGCAATCAAAAGTGATTAGTTTTGTCCTCTTCGAAAGACTGCAGAAACGCTGATTTTCGAAAAAAAAAAAAAAGGAGCGCTGAGCACTTATCAGCATTTCTTCACAGCACATTTTTGACAGGCTGAAACCCCTCCTGGCTTCAGTTCACCTCAGGTGTTCCCTCCTGCAATCAGCTTCAACAGCCTGGGCATGTTGCTTCCAGAAGTTCAGCTCTTCAACGTTCCTTGAACAGAGATGGAAGCAGCGGGAGCACTTGCATCACTACACATGGCAACAGAATCATTTCAAGAAGCTTCAAAATGATTCGTATTCATATGATATATATTATATATAATATGATTCTGTATTACTATATATAATTATATTATATACACATATATCACATATCATAATATTGCCCTATTTTCATACGCAACCCGACTTCGAAGCATCAGAATCGCATGATCAGCGTTGGTGGTTTCTTGCATTTTCAATGAGGAGATTTTTGCCAACCACGAGATCCATTTCAATAGCTCATGTAAAGCACTCTACGTAAAGATTTTAGATTGTATTTGCAGCCGTGAAATAGCCAGGAATTATATTTCCCACGGGGCCATACGGGGCCAAGATATTTCAGGAAGCCCTACTCCGGATCTTCAACAGCTGCCAGCAATTGCAGCAAGTTCGCTTGTGGGGGTTTCTTGGAAGCAATAAGTTGAGGGCTGAGTCATGACTCAGATCGAAAAAAAAAGATGGGCCTGTCCACTTAGGGTCTAACATGGTATAATCCAACATGGCAACGGAACTCTGAAAAAGTATTATTTAAAAAAAATGGATGAGTCATTTGTGGTGTTTTCCCCCAACAAAAAAAAAAAGGTCAACCAACTCCAAGTTGATAAATGGCAGCCCCAAAAATCCACCGGGGTGCGAGGTTTTACATCCTGGATACCATGATGCTTCGAGCCCTCTGCAACTTGCCCAAACTGGAAGAGCTTCATGGCTACTACCGTGAGGCTCGAGGCTGTTCATGGTGCGGCTCAAAAAGATATACTGCAACAGTTCCTGATGCAGAAATGAACGAATATGCATATATTATATTAATTTATATTATCATATGTTAAGATTAGCTAAGATGTGAATCGCCCCGGGACGTACACCTACTGTAAGTTGTGCGCATTGGGTATTGTGGAGGTATTTTTGTTTTCAAAGGGAACGATCTCACAATGACAACCAATTGAGATTCCAAACAATATTCCAATTCACAGTTCTTTAATGTTCTTTACAGACATCTACAAGCGAACTTGGTTCTGGTGATTTTCTTGATGTTTGTTGTAGGGCTACTTTGAAACGGTGCCCACATGAAAATCGCAGGATGTGGACCGTACGACGCTTTCGGCGCTTTCGAGAAAATGTGTCAACGTTCATTTGGCTCTTCCGCCTTGAGAAAATCGACCAGAAATGACCAGTTTCTACCAGGAGAATCGTGAAACGGCCGTGTGCTGACGCAATTTGATCAATGTGGCAGCTGGGTCAGGCAAAGTTTTTTCGGCAAAGTTCCTTCTGATTCAGTTCTGCACAAGACATGGGAATATGAATAGTTTTGCTAGCGAAGGCGTGATGTTTGTCATGCCTCAATTCAATGAATTTCAATGCTGCAAATGCTTGCATGTTTCTGCCTTGAAATTAGATGAATTCGATGTTTTGATGTGATTTCGTCCGAGTTTGTTGGCCGTTTGCCTGTGGGTGGCGACGACTTGCGTCAAAAAAGTACCCAAAGTGGATGGTGATTTCGAGTATTCCTATCATGTTCTATCCCCTGTTGAGAAGATTTCAACAATTGAGGAGAGGTGAATACCTATAAAAAGATCCGATGGATTTACATTACCATAGGGGAGGATGAACATCCATAAATCAGTCCATAAATCCATCCATAACTCCAAGTTATTTCGATGTTCATCAGGGATGGATAGCGCAGGTGTGGAAGACTGGGAGGATGAAGCCGTGGATCTTTTGCTCGGAGTTCCTTTGGTCTGGTCGTTGGAGGATGCGGGGGTCCTTAAATTTATGTCTGTGTAATAAATAAAGATTATATAGTATTAAAATAGATATTATATGATATTATATGATATTATATGCATTATAATACACAGAATTATATAGATATAATGATATAATGTATATAGTTAGTTTTATTATTATTATTATCATTATTTTTATTTTTTATATAGTTGTGTCCATTTCCCCCTTTGAATCGTTTTGGGGCATGGGCGTGAACCATCACTTTGAGGTGGAATTATAGATAGTTATGTTTGCAGAGGAAAGGTAAGGAGCTCTTAAATGACATCATGTTTGTGCAACTGCAAAAGGTGGTACGTCATGATATAGTCTTGTCAAGCAGATGAGATAGAATTGACGGTCTAACTCTAACTCTGTAGATCAATTGATCAAAAAATTGAGGTAGCAGTTCTGTTAGGAAGTTGACAGGGAGAGGTCGTGGATGGCAAACCGTCAACTGTTTTTTAAAGGTGTCACTGTGGCGGTTTAACGATTTTAACGAGGTTGCTTGTGCTGAAGCTGCTGAGTTGCTAGCAGGGGCACGCAGGCTGTTTGTGGCGACGGGTGCAGGATCCCCCAAAGGTGCCCCCCGATGTTTAGTCAATTTGAATAAGGCCTTAGGCCTTAGGCCCTTTTTAGTTGTTGGTGGGCCTTGTTGTTGGGTTGTTGGGTTGTTACATTTGGAGGGGTTGAATCCCCATGACCACAGTGTCAGTAACGCCGTGCAGGCTGCGCAGGGACTCTGCCACTGCACCAATTACGCAGGCAAATGTCAGGTTGGCAGTTCTGCTCTCAGTTCCAGGCCTTTGGCAAGACATGGACCTTTACGAGGCAACATCAGGCAATGACAAAGATGGCAACTGGCGAAATTGCAAGTTGATTGAGACTCAGGCTGACACCAGAGTGGGACGTTCTTTTGATGAGACAGAGGCATGTGGAGCGTGCTCTTGCTTCAGCATCATGATGATGTACAGAGTTTGTGTATCTATTGTGACCACTGTTTATGCCATGCAGGAGAGGGCGGCGAAGCGACGCAAAGAGATCAATGACAAACCATTGCCGCACGTGAAGTTCTTAGTGCCACTCCACTACCAAGTGATTAAAAAGCAAAAATGAGTAAAAATATGTTTTATATTGTTTTATGTTGTTGGTCGAGGTCTCCAGAAAAACAAAAAAATAGGAATGTGACTGGAGGAGCAGGTTTACCTGCAAGGTGCAACAAGGAGCGCGGATCATTCGCCCAAGGTCGGAAGTTCAGCCGCAGCACCTGCTAAGGAGAGAGAAATGATAAGGCAAGTAGGCAAATATGTGCCAAAGAGATTCAAAGAGCCTGGAAAGATTGGGGAAGCCTCAATTCACACACCAGGAAAAGTTTTGAAAATCAAAAGAGTTGCAGATCCTGTTTTTGCCAAAGTCCTAAAGTACCTTCGCAGTGGGGGCTTGGAACCTACAAGGAGCCTCGGGTAAGTCTCAAGAATCTTCCGAAGCTTGTGCGGGCTCCCAGCCACAGAAAACCCAGGATTCCAAATGCTGAGCATTGGGAAGTGTTGAATGACCCGAATAGACAGCCTAATTATCCAGAAAAGGAGCTTGGAAGGGGAAAGGATGGGAAAGGCCTTGATGGACATGGAGATTGACACATTCGCCAAGGCCCGAACCGGAAAGTCACACACTTCTCGGACCCCGGGGGCCTCGGAAGCTTAGCAGCAGATGGTCATAGCAAGCCAAGCTGATCCAAAATGATAGGCTGCCCAGGAAGATTTGGGTTGGGGCAAACATGTGCGACCCATGTCCGAGTGTTTTATTTGTCTTCACACGTCTCACATGTCAATTCGTGTTGTCATCGTGGCCATCATCATTATCACTACTAACCTATACCGGCAAAATTATTTATGTAGATACCATGGTACCATACTAGTATTGTCAGGCAGGTCGAGATGGTCCCTCAGATGAGACGCCATTGGAGCAGCTGCGGAAGAGTCATGGCATTGAAAGGTTGTCATTGATGCAGCGGGGTCTAAGATGTCTAATATATGAAATACGTGAAAAACAAAATGGTAAGGTCTGGCTGGTGATTTTGTTTATCACATTTTCCGAAGAGTGCCTTTGTCAGGCAGTTGAAGGCTTAACTTCCAAAAAGTTGTCGGGAAATTACGTGAATTCTGCTGGCGGAACACTGTTTTTACTGTAAGCGCAACATTCTGAACGCAGTCTTGAACGCCTTTTGAGGGCCGTTTGACCTTCAGTCTGCCAAACAGCTGAAATAAACCACATGTCGCCAGTAACATTAAGGATAGATATGTAATTGATAAATATATTTATATATATGTGTACACGCCGTTACACATACATGACATCATCTCAAATCACGGTAAATATATTTATTGCTTACGATGCTTACGCAACGTTGTGTGGATATAGCTGCGCGAATGTTGCAATTTGGAATGCCAAGGATACCATCACAAGCTGCTAAAGGATCCAAAGGTTGACTTCCCTTTGCCACAGCGGCTTCGTGGACATTGGCCTAAAGCAATTGGTCCCAACTGATGGCAGATGTGCTGAGTTCCAAGTTGCCCAAAGATCGACGGGACAACTCTCTGCGATTGTGACTTTGGATGGCCACAAGGAGACGCCATTTGAAGACTCTCAGGCCAGGGTCAAAAGAGGAGGACTTCATCAGATCATCAAGTGGCACGGGAGAGGGCATCCTGAACCAGAAAAAGTTCTGAATCTGAGGAGCAAAGTTTCGGCTTGGATGCATCCGTAGACACATGTCACTCACATTGATTTAAAAAAAGAAACATAATGAAAAAGGCCGAGAGCGCTGACGGCTGAACATCAAACCGACACGAAGAGTAAGCCGCAATGTGTGGAAAGGCACTTGCTCACCCCGTGGGGTGTGAGACATGCTGTGCGTTGAACCCGTTTTGGCCCAATTCCAGAATCATTCGAGACCTTATTGGGGAACGATTTCCACATGACAAACATTTTTTGTGCATCAGGCAGACGGAAGATGGCACTTGGAAAATTGCACTTGGGATGGCCCAAAATGATCAATGATGATCAATGGCTTATTTAATGGAGCTTGGTTGGGCCCCGTCTTCTTGTCCCAAAAACGGGGCCACTGGGCCACTGCGCCATGCTTCCAGCCGTTCGAGAGAGATTGGACTTTCTGGGAGAAGAGTATGACGCCTGCCCGGTTTGAGACCCAACATCTTTTCAACGTTTGTCGCTCTAAAATACTCTAAATCCCATAAAGACAATATAAAGACCCACAATGACCCAAGTAATTCAAAAAAGTAATCCGGAAAGATTATGGAAAAAAAACTAGTTTGCAATGCAAAGGTTTTTTTGATTTGTTTCCCGGCCATCTGAGGAAAGACTTGTGGCTGAGAACAGCCGTTTGCAACACTTGTTGAAGCAGAGTGAGCCACCCGGCAGCATTTGCTCCCCCGACCCGTTCCCGGTGATGATGTGCGATGTGTCTCCCTATGGGACATCTGAGGTTTCCGAGTCTTGACACTCCGGAAACAGCTGCTTGACATGCAAACCTCTGTCTATCCCTAGAGGGGTGCTGGGATGAACCCACATTGACACATTTTAATCGTTAACCCGCATTTTTTTTGCGCGGGTGGAAAACCATCAACCAGCAAAGGCTATCCAATCTATCCAACGGTTCAGTGGGTTTCAAATGGCCAAGCTGATCTGTCAGGACCTGCTGAATAAGATCGCACCATCGCAGAACAGTGTGGATTTAGGCCCCAAAGAGGCGTTCCTTGGCTCAGCAATGAATTTTGAGTAGTTGGAAGTTATCACATCCTCACAAGAATTGGCACGACATTGTGAACAATTTCTGAAATGTCGTGGGGAGCTGAAGCTGCAAGGTGGACGCAGGCACAGCATGCCGGGCAAGATGTGTTTCTGCATGTTGTGGAGCGTGAATAAGTAAAAGACCGCACTATAAAGACCATGTCAAACAAGGAGGGTTGTGCAATTTGCATAAGGCAACACTACACAACTGCTCTGACATTAAATTGACATTGGCATCCTTCTACCCGACCCTGACACAAATCTGGTCAGGAAACGGCCTGAGTTCATTCCTTCAAAGATTTCAAAGGATGTGGTCACCTGCGAAGAAGTAGGGCCTGCTACGGTGGTCACTGGGCAGTCTAGCGATGTCTAGCGTTAGCAAATATGTTGGAAAAATTGGAAACAATTCATCCCAAAGGCTGTGGTTTTTATGCCAGCAAGGCTGGTTCCATCCTGAAGCGAGAGGCTGGGCTCGCAGCTCGCGTTCAGTAGACTCAGTAGACTCTACCGTCATACCCCATGGTTTTCCTGGTTTCCTATGAGTGTTGGCAGGATAGCTTTGTTGGGACAGATGGAAATGGCAAAGCGGTGCTTCAGACCTTTGGAATTACCCCAGCTCCGGGTACCTTGGCGCATCATGGCGCATCGCGATCCGAGATGATTGGAGCATCGCGATTCGATCCAGTTCGAAATTCTGCCCCTTAAGGTGGCTCAGAACAAGCTCCATCGGCTCCATCCAAAGATCCAAGTCGAGCAGGGGATGATCCAGAAGAATCAGTCACACAGCAGATTGATCCTGGAAAAACTGGCCGTTCCATGTTGCGATGTCAAAGTGCTGGAAGAGCAATGTCCAATCTTGTTCTATTCCAGAGGGGTGACGTTAACCGCTTCGCTTGAGTTTTCTCAAACGTTTCATGGTGCCTTTTCTTTTAGAATGCAAGCGCATGCAAGCGCACTCAGGTTTCTCAACTGATATTCCTCGACGTCATACCAGTTTCTTGGTTGGCCACTGCTTGAGAATTGTTTGACGCAACCACTCTTTCTAACATCCTATAAGCATACGGTGGTTTCCTGAACTGGGAGACCTCCAGTTAGGGTCATTTCCAAGCCAGAAACCATCATGGTGACTGAACCCCCCATCGTTGAATCAAGGCCGTCATCATTTCGATCAATGCTGTGGTGGTTGGCCTCAGCGCTGTCGCTAAGCTGTAGATCGACTGGGTCTCACCGCGACATCGATCTGGGAGTTGACTGGACGTTTTCTTAGGGAGGCAACCACATGTCCTAAAACGTCCTAAAACAGAAAGAACATAAGATACAGATACATCAAGATACTAGATAAATCTAGATAAGGTGATGATGTTCAATGATGTTCATGCACGTTTGGATCACACAAGAGCCAAGAGCTACTGTATGATTGCTTGGAGCCCGAGTTGGGCTCGCAGCAGGATGCAAAAGGGAATTTTGACAGGGACAGCTGGCTACTTTAATTCAGGTGTGGCTTCAATTCCACCATATTCAGCCATTGGCCATCATTGGCCATTGGGCCATTGGCTGGTTGTCAGTGCTTTGTTCCACTAGTCCTGAATTTGACTCTTGGTCTAAGGATATCTGCCCAGACCACACCGCAGAGCCCTCAGGAGGTTTTACACCTGGCAACGCTATGAAATCCAGCGTGGCCAGGTTGGTCAGTTTGAACTTTGGTTTGTGTGTGTGTATGTCAAGCTCTGTCCATAAGAGTTCGAAGCTTCTTTGGTACTTCCAGCAGGGGGACTGTCTACCCGACAGAAGTGAGCTTCTGTGGCAGTGTTCATATCAGTGAGGACGCTCACAATATCAGTGAGGACGCTTTCAGACGTACCTGCGAAAGAACTGTTGTTTTCAAACCTTTGTAAATGCTGGTGGCACAAATCTTCTAACTAGAGCCGCTCGTGTCGGTATATGTCGGTATGCCACAGATCTCTGGGTCCCAAACACCCTTGATGTTTTGCGCTGACAGGGCACTGAGCCAGCGGCGTGATCCGAACTCCGAACAGTTATATAAATTGACAGATGTCTTGGAGAACTTGGCTGTCTAAGTGAAACATAGTAAAACCAGTCAAGGGATACATACCTATGGGGTGAGACCCGAACATCAGCAAGATTCATAGTGATACTGACATACTAGCTAGAGAGTTTCGTCTTATATTTTGTGGAACATAGATAGAGTGCTTGAAGCTTGTCCTTGCTGACTGTTCAAGCGGGCGTGTTTGTGTGATTTTGTGTGTGTGTGTGCGTGGCCTAGAACGGAACCTTTGACTCATGCATGCTTTACACATGAAGATCATGAAGCCTCAGGATTTTTCAGTGAAGTAAAGACTGGAGTATGTCTCCAGACTTCATCCCACGACGAACTGTTCAACCGTTGTTCAACCTGCCTTGTTTTCAGCTTTTCGGAGCCGAGGTTTGGGTGATCTTGGAGATTTTTTTCACTGCCTTTTTCACCCTGGAGGTGATCGTGAAGATGAGACTTGATGAAAACAAGCTGTTTTGTTTGATTTTTGAGAGCGATGTTTAAACCTGGGTCATTCCAATTCATTGAACAATAATACTATATTTACTGTAATACTACTATTACTATATAATACTGCTAGAAGGTGAGTTTGTGGTGTGCTTTTTGACAACTTTTGATGTGCATGTTTGAACATGTTTGAACATGCGAGGAAAGTCTTCAGCATCAGAGAATTTCTGTGTGGTCCGGATTGGTATTGGTCATGGTTTGATTTGTTTTGTGTTGGCCTGGCATACCTGGAAATGTGTTCCTCGACTGAATTTGGAGCTGGAGATCTGCGGAAGTTGTGTGTTTGCGCTCCAACCGAATCGTGCAGTTGACAGTAAGGCAACATCGCTGCAGTCGCTTCATAGTTTTTGATGAATTCCTCTATTGAGATATTCAGAGATATTGCATGATATTGCATGATATTGCAAGGTTGAGTTGAGATATTGGAGGGAGATGAGATGACGTCGGCAAACTGAATAAAATCAGAAGTGCCAGAAGGGTTGGCATGTCGGTAGGTATGAGTCTGCCGTCGTCTGGCTTGGGCACCACAGACTGTCGCGCTGGGGAGTCGGAGGGAGGTGCTGGATTTGGCGCTTTGAAGCTTGGCAAAGGGTAGGTTGTGATGGATTGTGGAGTTTAGAAGTGAAAGGATCCTGAAAGTCATGGAGAGTGATAGCCAAACCATTCAGATTCAGAGAAACTAGACAGGTTTTTTTCGTTCAGGAATGGACAGTCCGATGATTTAGCATATCTTAGCATGTCCAAACAAGGAAGATGTTAAAGTTGGCTCGCTTGGGAAGAATTGTGCGTGCCTGAGACGATGGCAAGCTGAGCTGATGTGTCTATACAGCAGTGATCTCCACAAAATTGAGACAATGTTCAGCCATGTTCAGCCAGCAGAAAGGTACGATTGCTGAAGTTCAAAATCTTCGTAGAGCTCAAGCTCATGCAGCAGCCTCAGTCACTGTGATAACTTGTGTTTGGGTTTGGTTGAAATTGGGGTATATGACGTATATTTATAGTTGATGGCCATTTAATGACGAATTCACACCAAAATAGTGAATGGGGAATATGATAGTTGAATTTCCCAACAAAATAGCCAGTTAATGGGGAAATATGATCGTTGATCCATTGGAATTGGGGCTACACTATGCTACACTGTCAGACACAGCCATTTGCACTGAGGATACAAGGCGTTTTCACAGGACTACGAGTCCTGTTCTGGGCAGTCATCCTCCTTTGCGCTTGCAGTTTGGTTGCAGCATGTTGCAGCCAAAGCTAAGGAGCCACGGTTTGTACTCACTGATTTGCTGGTTCAAACTAGTTCAAACCAATCAACTTGGCGAAGAAATCCTTCCGAGAGCACCAACTTCGCTGAATTCTTGTTACTGTAGCTGGGACCCAGCTCCACGCAAAGTTTCAAGCGCTTCAAACTTTCTGAATAAGTAAGCTGCAAGGTATCTACTTGCTTGGAGTGGTTTGCAAGACCCTTTTGTCTCAATATGTAACTCGGTTAAAAAGAATGCAAGCGGTTTCTTTGCAGTCAAGACTCAAAGAAACCGTTTGAATTCGATGATTTCGATGCTGCATCTCTGCTGCATCTCGAAGTCTCCCTTTCAGGAAGAGTTCTCCACTGTGTGGTCGACTTAGCTGATAGGCTTCCAGCCGTTCTGATGCTTGATCATCTATGATTCACATTGATATCATGTGCATGGTCGAAAGTGGCAGGATGGATCCCAAAATCAGCTAAAATCGATTGATTTATTTTGTTCTCCACATTTGGCCATGTACTCGTATGTCCATGTATGTCCATGCCCTGTATTCGGCTCCTCATTTTCAAACACAATTTCTCTACTCAGGCCGGCCGCCATGTTCACCAGTTTCCGCTGCTTCACAGATGGTTGCTCTGCATATGACGGCACTCCCTTGCAAGAACGGATCCGACGCCTGAAACAAAATAGAAATGTGAGGCCAAGGTTGGTCCGTGGGCTGGATAGAAATCTGCGTGATTTTGCAATGGTCTACATATATCTACAATTATCATCAATTATCTACATATAGGATGGCCCAACACTGCACCACGAGTGTACTAGAATCACTAGAAGTACTAGATGATCTGACGCATGTTATACGCAAGTGCAGAACTGGCACCAGACTTTTATGTTCAATAATGTGGTGAAAAAAGTGTTGCCAATTGATTCGACACTGGGCCCAAACCAAGGAAAAGAGGTGGGAGGAATTTGGATGACAGCGTACATCCTGGTGCTGCTTGGCAGCAACAGATTCTGCTTTGCTTGTCATTGCCACGAGAGGCCTCTGATTTTGGGAATCTGACCTTAAAGACCCACAATTTTCTGCAACCTTTGAGACTCCGAGATGCTTTGAATCAGTTCGCTAACTTCTTTGTTGCATGTTTTTTCCACCCGCCACGTTGTGTTTCTGGAAAGCTGAGGTTTTTATTTATTACGATCGGAATTTTCAATTTGACGCTAAGCGTTGATTTCGGCCATGGAAGTCATGACAATCCCTGCTCAAGACTTTTTGCTTTGCAGAGTACTCAAGTCCTTAGGGGAAGACCAAGATGCAATCTTGCGTGTTAGAGCTGGTCCCGAGCTGTGATGTTGTGATCACATTATGGACCGCGGTTGTATCTCCGAAAGCACCGTTTGCATGGGCGCAGTTGTTTTCACTGTGTTTGTTTCGTGCGTTGACCACGTTTTTTTGGACAGACTCACTTTCAAAGAGTGTTGCAGTTGGCTTGGTACACCTGAAAGTTCTACCACTACTACTACTACTACTGCTACTACTGCTACTACTAGTACTACTACTGCTACTACTACTACTACTGCTGCTGCTGCTGCTGCTGACTGCTACCTTTGACTACTACCACTCACTACCTACCGCTGACTGCTGCAAGTATTGCTATGCTTCTACTTTTGCCTTAATTCTGTATATATATCGGCATCACAAGTGCATTTTAAAACTTTACAAAATTCAGGATTATGGCGGTGTTCATTGACAACGTTAATGATGGTAGCGCCACCACCTCAGTGTGAATATTGCAACAAATAGTTGATTGTGGGTCCGTCAGCATGAATAAAGATCAAATCGCAGGACAGATGCGATGCATGAAATGGACTTAGTGGTTTATTGCAGTCACGCACCGCTCTAGGTGAAAAAGAAACAGTACACCTTGGGAATGACGGCAGACAAGACCGAACTCAACCTTGCAGAGAAATTGAAGGGTATGTGTTTCAACTCGGGCGTTGTCAAGCGTCAGGATTTGGAGGACCATGAAGGGTTTGCGGTGACTGCCACAGCGTTAGAGTGAAAAAAAACCTGCAAACAACTGCATTACGGGCGCATGGACATTGAGGATGATTTGGAAGAGGAACCACGATTCACAGATGGGTTGCTCAGCTTAAATCAGAAATCATGTTTGCAATGGTTGACATGTTTGATTTCAAAGATGTGTTTGAGAGTTGTCCCCAAATGAGCCTTTTGTAACATACCCATGTTGAAAAATGTTGATGTGTTATCTTTGGGTTTATACTTAATTTATTGGGATTTATTGGGGATTAATTATGACCATTCAAGATATGAGTAACTATACCTGATATACCGTACCTATTTGTGGATAGGGTTATATTATATTTTTCATGGCCAGCATGAGAATGTAAATCAAGTTTCTTCGAAGGCATGCCAAGGATAGCAGTGATTACTTTGATTTTGATTCTGCAGACCCGAGACTGCGCAGGCAAGATTTTGAAGGCCGATGCAATCGGACATTTGGGTTGCATATATGGTGGCATTGTATAGACATTGTATATCAAGTGTTTGTCAGATTTGATGCGAGTTCTTTGACGGCAAAGTTCAGATTCCACATTTTCACAACAAAGATGAAATATAATGTGTAATTAAGTATCATGTCATGCATATAATTTTTAATTATATATACAGTATATATATATACACAGATGAATAATCCGGAGAAGCAGATGCAACCTGCATAATTATTATGCCCAAAAGTTCACGCCAATGAAACGTGTTGGACATTGGACTCCCTGGACGTGTTTTGCCTCAGGATCAAGAGAGCCATGGGTCGTATCTTGGCAGTTGATTGCGTCACATTGATGATTGACCTTTGAACCTTTGAGCTAAAGAAGCAGATCCGCATTTGTTGCAAGGGACAGGTCGGACATGTGTGTTGTGTGAGTCTGCTGAGGTTCAGGCTGCATCATCACAAAGCGAACTTTTAATTCCTGGTTGCTCCACAACAATGAATTGCTGGAAAGCCTCGATGATGCGGAAATCGCATACGCCTCGGTGCCAAGCGAATAGACTTTCCAGTCACCTTCCTTTGAGTGTCACTATCCTTTGAGTATGTTTGTTGATGTTTGTTGATTGTTGTTTGGCCTTGCTGTTCACAATCGTTGGATTTCAGGACACCTCCAGCAAATTCGAGCTCTTTGACGTGTTGGACATAGACCTTTCCGGCAAACTTCCGTTCCAAGCTAAGAGTGGATCTGATGCGGATATCTGAACAGCGCAATGATTGGAATTGATATGTGCTAGTATTCAGCAGTTGAAGAAGACGGAAGTCTTCAAATTGTCCTTGATATATGTCGATATATTGAACGGCAGATAACGGCAGAAGGCTGTTGATTGTTTTCCCAGCGAGGTTCCGTGAAACCGTGGAAGGTCTCATGAAGTGCCGCGGGCCCGTTTCGAAAACAGTTACTCGACTTGAAACTGATAACGGTTGATTGACTTGTGGCATTGCGCTGTTTAGCTGATTTTATCTGATTTTATCTGATTTTATATCTTTGGATGTTGCATTGAATGGCAAACAACAACATAGAGGACATTCCTGAAGCCCGTTGAACCCAGAAAAATCCGGTGTTGGCTCACTTCAAGAGACATCTCACCCAAGGACATTATCTCGATCCGCTTGCAACTTGCTTGCCACTAGATATGGATTTGAAGCAAGCATATCCAATTGGATTTTCTCTGTCGATACTATCAGATCTATCAGGAGCCTCAAGTAGGATCCGATGAAAAAATGCTGTGATGCATTGTGATGCTTGAAGAATCAGAAGAATCCTGATGGGATTGTGACACATTGTGACTGCGGGACAGGCGGGTTCGATATCTTACTCGACTTGTGCAGCAAATCCACAAGAAGCTTGACTGTCCAGCAGCAATGATGTGAAGCAAACAGTTTTGTAGGACTCGGAGCCCATGTCTTCGATGTTGGAGCTTTCCAACATCATTTAGAATTTTGTTAGATATTCCGATTCCGGAGATGATTTCTAGAGCCGTTTTTTGGAGATCAAGAATTGTCATGTTGTCGAAGACAACATTGGCCGTGGGTTAGGGCCCATGGGAATATCCTCTTAGCTATCTCTTAGCTGTGGCCATGTTTTTCCTATCCTAACAACTGTTAGGCTGGTGCCACTGGACTTAGTTTAGGCATTTGCATTTGCAAATCTGTTGAGAGATCCAAAGTTGACGGCTGGCTGACTCGCTCAATGGAGCTTGGAAAGCCAGCCCTGCTGCCTGCATCAAAAAGGTTCTGGGGACAAAGACCATTTACAATTTACAGGTGCACTTCCCAAACATTAAAGTCCTTTTCATCCTGACCTGCCGTGTATTGGTAGCGATGGCGGAATGAAGATCTGATGTGGCAATATGTGGCAGACATTGATAGACATTGATTCCGAAGACACTGTGGACAGAATGCAGCAGCTTGCAACTTCGGATTTTATCATATATAACCTGCAGGAAGAATGGTTTACATGTATTTTTTGAGTACAGCTGCTGTTCATTGTTGGTCCTGCTGCGGATTGTGGTGGCAAGACATGTGAGCTAGTCTGAGCATGTTTGAGCTGCATGATGCTGATGCTGCATGCACTCGGCATGAGTTTTGTTCGTGAGTTGAGATACTTCCAAATGTTCAAGTATTCAAGGATATTGAAGGCCATGTGTACTGTTCTTGGCAAAACCTTGTTTTCTACCCTTTTCATCCCTTATCCATCCTTTTCCTGTCATGAGTCTGAAAATATGTCGAAACGCACTGAATTGCAAGCTCACAATGAGATGATGAGCAAATTTAATCAAAGTCCTTCTAATCCTACCATCTCTCTTGCAGGGTGGCCGTGACGGATTTTCTACTCTGATCTTTCCATGGTGTACAATGTAGATTGCACTTATTTGCAGTAGCACAAGTTGGCTTCTCATCTCATGCTTTCACAGATTGTCTTGCGATGTCTTGCGGGATGACTTCCCAAACATCAAAGTCCTTTTCATCCTGACCTGCCGTTTATCGGTGGCGATGACGGAATGAAGATCTGATGTGGCACTGTGTGGCAGACATTGATAGACATTGATTCCGAAGACACTGTGGACAGAATGCAGCAGCTTGCAACTTCGGGTTTTATTCGTGTATTTGAGTGCAGCTGCTGTTCATTGTTGTTCCTGCTGTGGATTGTGGTGGCAAGACATGTGAGCTAGTCTGAGCATGTTTGAGCTGCATGATGCTGATGCTGCATGCACTCGGCATGAGTTTTGTTCCTGAGTTGAGATACTTCCAGATGTTCAAGTATTCAAGGATATTGAAGGCCATGTGTACTTTTCTTGGCAAAGTCTTGTTTTCTACCCTTTTCATCCCTTTTCCATCCTTTTTCTGTCATGAGTCTGAAAATATGTCGAATCGCACGGAATTGCAAGCTCACAATGAGATGATGAGCAAATTTAATCAAAGTCCTTCTAATCTTGCCTGTCTTTCCGGCACAAGACTTTTGTGCGAAGTCAGAGAGAGTCCTTCTAATCCTACCATCCCTCTTGCAGGGTGGCCGTGACGGATTTTCTACTCTGATTTTTCCATGGTGTACAATGTAGATTGCACTTATTTGCAGTAGCACAAGTTGGCTTCTCATCTCATGCTTTCACAGATTGTCTTGCGATGTCTTGCGGGATGACTTCCCAAACATCAAAGTCCTTTTCATCCTGACCTGCCGTTTATCGGTGGCGATGACGGAATGAAGATCTGATGTGGCACTGTGTGGCAGACATTGATAGACATTGATTCCGAAGACACTGTGGACAGAATGCAGCAGCTTGCAACTTCGGGTTTTATTCGTGTATTTGAGTGCAGCTGCTGTTCATTGTTGTTCCTGCTGTGGATTGTGGTGGCAAGACATGTGAGCTAGTCTGAGCATCTTTGAGCTGCATGATGCTGATGCTGCATGCACTCGGCATGAGTTTGTTCTTGAGTTGAGAGATACTTCCAGATGTTCAAGCATCCAAGGATATTGAAGGCCATGAGTTTACTTTTCTTGGCAAAGCCTTGTTTTCTACCCTTTTCATCCCTTTTCCATCCTTTTTCTGTCATGAGTCTGAAAATATGTCGAAACGCACTGAATTGCAAGCTCACAATGAGATGATGAGCAATTTAATCAAAGTCCTTCTAATCCTACCATCCCTCTTGCAGGGTGGCCGTGACGGATTTTCTACTCTGATCTTTCCATGGTGTAGATTGTAGATTGCACTTATTTGCAGTAGCACAAGTTGGCTTCTCATCTCATGCTTTCACAGATTGTCTTGCGATGTCTTGCGGGATGACTTCCCAAACATCAAAGTCCTTTTCATCCTGACCTGCCGTTTATCGGTGGCGATGACGGAATGAAGATCTGATGTGGCAATGTGTGGCAGACATTGATAGACATTTATTCCGAAGACACTGTGGACAGAATGCAGCAGCTTGCAACTTCGGGTTTTATTCGTGTATTTGAGTGCAGCTGCTGTTCATTGTTGTTCCTGCTGTGGATTGTGGTGGCAAGACATGTGAGCTAGTCTGAGCATGTTTGAGCTTCATGACGGGATTAGACGGCATGTGTATCTTCTTGAGTTATATTGACTTGAGATACTTCTTCATGCAAGTATTCAACGATATTCACGGCCATGGGCATTGTTCTATATTTTTCTTGGCGAAGCCTTACGCCTTACGCCATCTTACGCCCTTTTCCTGTCATGAGTTTGAAGTTGTGTCGAATTGATTTCTACCTGTCATGAGTCTGAAAATATGTCGAAACGCACTGAATTGCAAGCTCACAATGAGATGATGAGCAAATTTAATCAAAGTCCTTCTAATCCTACCATCCCTCTTGCAGGGTGGCCGTGACGGATTTTCTACTCTGATCTTTCCATGGTGTAGATTGTAGATTGCACTTATTTGCAGTAGCACAAGTTAGCTTCTCATCTCATGCTTTCACAGATTGTCTTGCGATGTCTTGCGGGATGACTTCCCAAACATCAAAGTCCTTTTCATCCTGACCTGCCGTTTATCGGTGGCGATGACGGAATGAAGATCTGATGTGGCAATGTGTGGCAGACATTGATAGACATTGATTCCGAAGACACTGTGGACAGAATGCAGCAGCTTGCAACTTCGGGTTTTATTCGTGTATTTGAGTGCAGCTGCTGTTCATTGTTGTTCCTGCTGTGGATTGTGACTGGAGATGAGTTAGGTGGAGATGCGTGCATTTATTGCTTTTAGTACATACTTTCGAATCATGCTTGCAAAAGTGCAGAATGAACAGATTGCAAGGCTTGAGCAGTTGAGATGTATGCCACATTCCTTTGTTTACCTATCACAGGTTTCGTGATCTGGGATCAGGCTTGTAACCAAGATGATGAGACATTTTAATCAAGGACTCCTGTAATCCTACCATCCCTCTTTCAGGGTGGCTGTGACGGATCTTCTACTCTGATCTTTGCTACTTGGAACTATGATAGGTAAAGCTGACAGCTTGGCATGCGGTTTTTTCCTCCCTGTGGTGCAGTGGCAAAAACATGGTTTTGCAAGCAAAATATGTCTTTATTTTTCTTGGGGGAAGGTACCCTTGGGGGGGTACCGTAGGTCTTCGTAAACCAGGACACCAGAGATCCTCGTGACTCCTAAGTTCGGTCTGTACTCCATGACAATGTCAGATGATTTCTTACATTGCAAGCAACCTGTCATAGTTCGTCCAACCCCCCAATTTGTTATAATTTGTTTTTGATGATCTTGGAACGATTGCCGGCCCGGTTTTCGCAGCTCGGAGAAGAGCAGATGATAGTAGATGTAAAACACAAGATAAAAACAACATGCACAGCTTGTACAGTCCCAAGTTGCTCTTGGTCCTGCTGCCCTTTTGCCAGCTAGACTCTAGACTACTCATACAAACTGCAAGCCATGCCACAAACTTACACTTGCAACTTGTCAATTGGATTTGATCCCTATCAAGCCATGCCAAAGTATAGTGAAATTTCTACGCAGGCGGGACCGCCAGTGACATGGGTCATGGATCACAGGGCTTCAAGGGCTTGACTTGGTACACAGTAAGTAAAACGTGCAGGCGGAGAGTCCTGCTGACCAGAAGCTGTATGACAAGAAGCTTGGCATTTTTTCCTGCTAAACGCAGTGTATCCAGTTGAATGCATCTCACTCCTTCAGGTGCTAAAACGAACAAATTTTCGAATATATAATATTATAATCATTATATGTAAAGGGCTGCCACCCACTGCCGCCCGGGGTCCGGCAGGAAAAGGGCACCAGAGAATGCGAGTAGCAGTAGCCAAGTTTCCAAAAGTGACGCTTTGCGAGAGCCAAACACCAAGGCCCCTGGTCTTCGCTTTTCCTTCTGTGCACCCCCTGCTGATGGCCGGGGTCTGTGAATAGGGATATTTTCGCGAAAGTTCCGCGAAAGTTATGCGAAAGAGCGAGCGAAAGTCAAAGTGCATGTTGAAGGGGGTGGGCCAGTAAACTTTGCAAAAAAAATCTGTCCTGAGAAGGGATTCCGTGATGCTAGCTGCATGTTTAAAAGGCTACCGAGAAGTGATCCGTGATTCTCTGGCGTAATTTGGCAGGTGGTGAACGAATCTTCATAAGAGGTGTTGTTGGCCAACATGGGCCCCGCGAAAGATAAACATGGAGTTCACGAAAGTTTCGCGAAAGTAAAATTTTTATTTGCGAAGAATGGCCGTTCCGGGATAAAGGAATTTTGATCAACAACCATATTATATATAATATTGAATATTGTATATTACATATTCTGGTCGCCGCGACTCCGGAGTTCCAATAAAATCATATATGTTCTATCTTGGGTTTTTGTAGGGCTCATCTCGGGAGTATGTTGGGCCCATGTTGGCTCTATGTTGGGGTGTGTTGGGCCCATGTTGGCCCGGCATGTTGGCCTATGTTGGGCCCATGTTGGGCCCCATGGCCCTATGTTGAGCCATGTTGAGCTCAAGTTTGGCAACTTAGCCGATTTTAGGTCCCTTTATTTAAAAGCGTGGAAAAGCACAGGGCCCCCCGAAGCCAAAGCTTAATTAATAGCTATTGTAATTGCTTCCGGATCATGCGTGCACACAAAAAACGCCTCAGCACCTTCGGTGCGGGCGGATTTCAATGAATTTCCATTGGAAAGTTTGCATAGTATTGTTTGCACAAAGGCTGCCCTTATTGAATGCAGAGTGTGGATGACTGTGGCATATTTGCACGCTGTATGGGCATCACAGCGGTAAGTCCTCTGCTTTACGCGATATGTTACAAACCCCTCCATAGTCTGCCACGCCCTCCAGCCTGGCATTCCCATCATCAGCAGTACCGTGCTAGCTTTCAACCGTGCTGACGGTTCGAGTGGGTCTTGGGTTTCAAGTTTATACACACCCCATGTACCATGCAATATCAGTGGATGTTGATTCAAAACAGGAACGCAAAGAACACGAATCAGAGAAGCCCACAGACACCACGGCATCTATTTGATCCTATCTTCCAAGGACTGATCTTCCAAGCTGGTGTGCGCACCCATTGGCAGTGCCATCCTCGCAGCCCAACATGTTGATCTTCCCTGGCGAGATGACTCACTATGCCGGGATGCTTGCAGATGCCCGACAGCTGCCCTTGGTCCAAGACTCTTGGAGATCCATTATCCATTGAATCCATTGGTGCCACCATCACAACATGCGGAGTCAGTAAAACAGGGTTAATCTTCCCAATGAAATAGCCATTTAATAGGGATAATGATCAGCAAAACCATTGGGTAAAAAGGGGTACACGACATTTTCAGACACACCCAATTATGTCAAGGCACACAGTTTGCTTTGTGCTGCCTTCAAGAACTCTTGAGTTTGGCGGAGGAAATGATGGAGCTTGCGACGGAGACCTTTGATTTTGATTTGCAACGTGTGTTTGAAGAGTGCATGGAAGCCGATTGCGCAAGCAGGACTGGACTGCAGAAACAGAGATAAATGGTTGTTTGTGCTTGTTCAAGCTGGACTCATTAGTTGTGGGGAAGCACATTGGGTCTAGTTATGTCTAGTTGTAAGGCAACAAAGCTGCTAAAGCTTGAAATTCCTCTGGATGTTTTTGAGACCTTGTGACTCACATGTGACCTTGGACATCCTTGGACTATGTGACTCACTAAGATGTTGCAGGACAGACAGACGTCAGATGCTGGCTTATGTGCATCCCTCAGAAATCCTCGAACTTTTGCTAATTCATTGAATATATATTGAATATATTGCATGGCACAGTCATTTGCAGTCAAGGTTGCTGATTGTGCTGCATATGAGCTCTTCCGCGAGCAGCAGCCAGAGGCAAAAAAAAATCGCCAAAGCAACCCTACATGGCCCTACATCCTTTTCGGACCAGTTTCAGACATGTTGATAAATTGTAATACTCGCATATACCATTATTTGCCCTGATTGCGATCTATTTCTGGTTGCAACCGCCAGCTTCCCTGGAGATACAACTGACACATTTGACACGTCGACAGGTTGCGTCTACTCCTCGTGCCGTCGCTGGCTTCGCTGTCGGGGAGTTTGCTGCGCTGGTGGCTGCGGGCGTCATGTCCTATGATCAAGGTCTCACAGTCGTGAAGGCAGGATATGGCAGGACACAGTCTGTGACCAAAATTCTATGATCTGTATACTTCTGTATGACATTGCATGGCAAACATTGGCAAATCATGCAATATTTTAACATTATAAACCAGAAATGAAACCAGTCAAGAGGTAAACAATCAAGTGTTTCAGAAAGGAAAACCATGGAAAAGCACCCGCGACGACGAAAGAATTCATGGCAAAATGACTCAAATTGCCATGTTTCATGGTTTGCCAGGCTCGGGCAGAGGCCATGCAGAGATGGGTTGATGACGAACAGATGGCGGCGATTGCGGTCTTCGGACTGGAAGAGGAGCAGCTCAAGGGTTTGTGCGCCAGTGTTGATCCAGGCAGCAACATGTCAGCATTGGGGCACTGAACTTGTTTTCAATTGAGCCATCATAGGTATGCCATGGTTGTTTGGTCGGTTATTCTGGGGATTATACTACCTAGAGCGACCAAACCCTGGAAAATTCCACGGTGGCGCTCAATACCTCGGGTATTCCCTAAAACCTCGGGTTCTCCCAGATTGGGCAATTTTCCAAGTTGAAACCACACTTCGGCGGGGAATGTTCCCAAAATGTAGTAACTAAATGGTTCGGTCACCTGTGGCCACTGAGGGCTCCATTTTGGCCACGAACAGTTTTGTCATGTTTTGTCATCGTTTCTCCAATCTTTATTTAGCGCATTTGAGAAAATGTTTGGGTGTGTGGGAAAAAGCAGGTCGAACCCGCAATTATCCGTATTCAACATTGGTTCCCACACACCCTACTTTTTTCCCAACCCGTATTTATCCCGTAGGGAACCCGTGATTTTCCCATAATGACCCGTATTTTTTTAATGGATTTTGTGAGGTCAAAGTCAGTTACAACTCACTTGATATGGTTTTGAAAGATTTGGGTTGCCTTTTCCAACCCAACCCTGACAGCAAAAAAAGCAACATCAACACAAATTCAGCAGTCGTGTGGCAAGGGTGCGCACCCCAAGGGTAGGACAGTATGTGCATATATTAAAAAGGGAAAAACCAGGTTCGTTCCGGAAAACCTCGGTTATTTTTGAAACCCTGGAAATTTCCAGCTGGGTTTGGTTGGTCTAGGTACTCAATTGTTATTGATATTACTGAGAATGTGTAGAAAGATGCATTGTAGGCTTTGCAACTTGTTGGATACTGCAACGTGTCTTCGAAGGGTGTGAATGAGAAGGAGCAAAGTCTGGCTGTGGGATTGTAGAATGATTTTCTGGTGAGCCTTAGTTTCTGATGTTTCATTATGTCACATTCTATTTTATATCTCCTCATTATATCTCATTATCACATAGAATTCTTATATTATAGATATTAGGTGTAGACTGATGACTAATATACAGTATATAGATATATTGTGAATAGATGTGAATAGTATGTTTTGCCTATTTTGAGATATATAATATATACGACATTATACGACATTGCACCTCTGAGGTAAACTGGCACAGAAGGCTCGAAGTGACGAAAAAGGTTGCTGTTGTTTTTTTCTGGAAGACTCTGACATGATATCCATGACTTGAAGGGCATCATCGAGCATCATCCATTTATGCTCGTTGTCAGGTCTTCATTTCCCACTGCTGGGGTCGCAAGGGCTTTGTTTGTTCCGGGACTTCAGCTGCGGTTGAGCAGCTGGAAAAACTCGTTGAGAATCAGCTACTTGCCTTACAGAAGTACTGATTTCCTTGTGGATGATCGTGGGAGATTGTCAAATTGTGAATGAATGGAGTCTAGATTCTCCCACAAAAAAATATCGCACACCATTTGAACAATCCTGCCACAATCAAGATTTGAGGGTGTCTCGGATAAATGCAGTTTTTTTTTGGCTTGCTCATGAGATTTGGTGACAGCTAAGGGCTCAGCAGGAGGCGCCTGGAGTGCTCGGTATTGTAGTGTTCTGGTAACATACCTGTATCTAGCATTATCTAGCCATGTTTCCGAAAGCAGGATGGCGGTTGATTGAAGGAAACTTCTGTGCTAATGATATAATGACATAATATAATGTATGCGTGGAAGATCAAGAATTTGAGAAAAAGGATGAGAGGGTAAAATCTAGAAGAGACTTTGTGGTATTTTACATATGTTGACATATTTTTTTCATGTGTTTACTGTTTACATAATTTTGCATCATTTTACGTAATGTTGCAGCCTTGACAATCAGAATTTCCTGTTGGTTTCCAGCTACTTGTGAGTGTTCAACCTCGAGCCTCGCAGGTTTTGTACACCGAACGCATTGAGAGCTGCGTTGATGCAGGAGTGATTTTCCACGGCAACCAAATCTCAATGACCTCAATGGACGTTTTTGAATGCCCCCAGTCTTAAAATAGGAATCCAGGGGGGGACGTAGGTACTGAAATTCCTTTTTAAATTCCTTTTTTTTTGCCTGGCGTATCCTGGCGTAATGTGAGGAAAGGTTTCCAAGCAAAGTGGACAGATCAACCTTTGGCCATTTTAGCCAAGCCGTTGGAAGACTTGCCAGCAATTTCTAGTGATTTTTCAAATACCCCCTCGCCAAGGGCCATGTAAATGTTGTTAATAAACATATAATAATCTGGACCACAGGGCCATGTTGTGTATGCGTTTGAAGGACATACGCCTCTTGCAACAGCTGTCGCTGCGGAGGCACGCAGTTCGGCATTTTTGGCGAATGCCACATTGGCCCCGCTGCACAGGTAGAGGAAGTCATCAACAACATCGCAATGAGACTCGGCAGACGGTTGATTTGCAACCCGTACTGCTCCTGAATTAGGTGATTGCAATGAGAAAAACCATGGCATCATGGGATTTTCCATTCAAATCCGTAAATGATTCTATAGAAGCACCATAAGCACCATATGGCAAGCACCCCAAGAGAACCAAAAAAAATCAGCCTTCTGGTTCTTGAGGAAGCCACCGCAGTGTGAGGCAGGGGCTTCATCCTGAAGCTATCACCAGTATATTGCAACTTATTCACAGCTGACGTCGCCTGATGTGGAAGGTTTACTTCAATTGCGGCATTCGAGTAGCAGCTGGGGAGGCACCTTTTTTTCAAGCCGTTCAAAGTCCAATGGCCTAGAATTGTGGAATGGACGCGGTCTTGTGGTATTAATATGATCAATATTATATTATATATATGTTATGGATGTATGATATGTGTGCTGTGATTGAATTATGTTGAAGAAATTGACATACTGTGAACATTTGTGAACATATTTTTTACAAGGGATCTTTCAAACAAAACAGCCCCTACATTTGCATCGCAGGATCCCTCGGTCTTTGCACCATATCTCATTCAGCAGCTGGTCATGCCCCTACGCGCGGCTCCAAGACCTGAGATTCGCCTCTGTCTTGAAGTTTCCATATGTTTCGAAATGGGCTACAGCATGGTACAGAACGATAATATTTAATATATTATGAACATATTATGAACATATTGCCATTGTTTATGTGACAAATGATGATAGACAAGCCTTGGAACTATGGGTTTTGATGTTTTTTTGATGGTTTTTGTGTGGTTGTCCCATGTTGTCCCATAATTTTAGGACAAAACTGTTAAACTGAGGCTGGGACATCACAATCAACAGCAGCTTACAGCGTGGAATCCGTCGCTTCTACGAGTGTGGCCCAGGGCATAGCCTTAAGGTACGCCATGCGTGTTGCAAGCAACAGTTAGTTATACAATATTATACACTTCTAGTTATCGTTACTTGATTACTTTTTCTCAGACTTTATCCTTCAATATACTCTTTACTAAAGACCAATAATATGCATACATAATCATACATGACATGTGATACATATGCATGTGTATGCATGTGTATGCATTTTATGCACTTGAGACGCATTTATGGCTTTGCTCAGCCAGGACTTAATGATGTTCAACACCTTCACAAGTCAATCGCAGACCATCAGGTGCAGCTGGCACATCTTCTCATCCTGTGACCCCACGTGTATCATTCTAATGCTTCCGAATTTCACGTTGCAGTATCCTGAACAATCTTGCATACAGATAGATCACGTTATGAGCAAAAAATTAAGACTGAGAAATTGCTGATGTCAGAAGACAAGAGGTCCAAACTTTACATCGCATGCTTTAGCAGCTTGTTGGCCAAAGGCCCGTTGAGTTGACTACTGGAGTGCACTGCTGAGCCAGCTCAAGGTAGGCATCGATTGACCATGTGTAAATTTGCTGTGCGGAAAAGTCATGGGCGCTGCAAAGAAAAGCCATGGATTCAGGCGCAAAGCAGTCAGACAAGATACTGTACATATTTGGAGGTTTCCTAAAATGGGGGGTAACCCCAAATCATCCATTTTAAGAGGATGTTCCATTATAAATTACAGCCCGAGCGCTGGTTAAGAATCCGAAAGCTTGAGGCCCAGGGTCCCTCAAATTCTTATTTTTAAATGCAGGCAAATTTACACCACAACAGGCCGAGGGTCCCTCAAATTCTTAGGGCATTCTTAGTTACAGCCCGAGAGTTGGTTAAGAATCCGAAAGCTTGAGGCCCAGGGTCCCTCAAAGTCTTCTTTTTAAATGCGGGCAAATTTCCACCACAATAGGTCGAGGGTCCCTCAAATTCTTAGAGCACCCTTAGTTATGCATTGCATGCATCTGCGCAATTTGGAGCGAGCTTAAACGAGGTAACAAGGTGGAGTTGGCAGATTTGACAAGAGGCATGCAAAAAAAAATAGAGCCTGAAAAATGTTTTTTTTGCAAAGCCAGGCTTGTCTGAATTTCATGAGGTTAGTGTGCAAAAAGCAATTTTTTAGAGCCTGAAAAAACTTTTTTTGCAAAGGCTTCTCTGAGTTTCAAACAGTAGCGCGGAAAAAAAATAGAGCCTGAAAAATTGATTTTTCGCAGCTGCAAGCCAGGCTAAACCCAGCCCTTTGCAGCAAGGGCAAAGAGAGAGAATGAGAAGGAAAAATGCTTTGAAGGAAAGGTTCCTGTAGCAGTAGCGCACTCTTTGGGCATCTAAAAAGGTCTGTCAATGTTTTGGCGTCCCCAAGTCTATCCACATATAGATATTGCGTGGATTGGAAGCAGTCCTTGCATGTGCGAAAAAAACAATTTTTCGGAGTTTGAACAATTGTTTTTCTGCAAAGCCTCAGTTTTCTTCAAGTTATTGGGGAAAACAATGTTTCAGGCCCCAAGTCTTTCCAAATATAGATTTTGCGTGGATTGGAAGCAGTCCACATGTGCGAAAAAAAAATCGGAGCTTGCAAAATTGTTTTTCTGCAAAGCCCGATTTCATCCCATAAGACCATAAGGGGTCACACGGCAAAAAAATGAACCGCAAAGGGGTATTGCAAACCTTACGTATAAGCAGTAATTTAAGAATTTGGCAATCCTATTCCAGGGTCCCTCAAATTCTTAAAGTACTATGTGTTTGGTATAGCTGAAAATATGTAGCCCGCCTTGGATTCGAGCCCCTCAAATTCTTATACAGTGAATTCTTGTGCAATACTCAAGCTGCTGTATAAACCATCCATTTTGGCGTACCACCAATTTAGGAAACCTCTATTGATTGGCACTTCTTTGCCATTGTGCATTGAGATTTCGAAACTTGTGGCTGTTGGATGACCACAAGAGTTGAACAGGCCTGAATCGCGTTTATGGACAGGGTCATTAGTTTTACTATATAATATGTTTTATATTGTATATATCCATTATATCCACTATATGTCCATTATATATCCACTATCTATGCATTATATATCCATTGTATGGTAACCACTACAAATCACATCACCATGGTTAACCCTCTTAATTCCGTTACTATCATGTCATGTATTTGCCGTTACTTTCTTACATATGCAGTGCTAAAGTGCTTGTAGGTTTGTGCAATATCGATCATTCATTCACGTGACTTTCGGGCTCAAATTTTCAGCAATGCGCATGCCTTCACTCCAGGCCTGCGCACGGAACTTGTCACAGCCAAGGATATTCACATGATTGTGACATTGCCCTTATGAGTTTGGGCCGCTGATTTGTTGTGTGTCCATGTGTGTCCATTATATACTTCTATTAAAAAGGTATCAACCGATTGCGTCTATGACATGTTCAGCTCGGAACTTTAAATCTTCTCGCTTCCTGTCAAGTGTTTGTCAGGGGCTGCGCTAGTCTGAACCTCAGCATTGGGATTGCCTTGTAATTTCAGTCAGCTTGTGAGATGATGTGAGGTGTGCACAAGTTACACTACTTACAAATTATATACACATCTGACAGTATCTGACAGTGCCATGGGGATCCCTTTGTTGCTCTTTGTTGCTCTTTTCAGGTCACGCCATCCTATTACTTCCAATGCGTTTGACAAGCCAGGCCTGGAGAACAAGACATTGACAGCTAAGCCCCAGTTTTGAGCAAGCACAGTATCAACATATCAACATGAATCAACTCTTGAGACACAAGCAGACATTTAAAAAACATGTTGATGATGTCGATGGTGTGGCCATTCGCGTTTCTTGCCAAAGGTTTCCAATGATTGAAATTGTGAAGCAGTGAGCAGTGAGGCATCAAAGGTACTCTATAACACACTGCAGGCAGGCAGTTTGGGGCTTGGGATGCCTTGGCCAAATGATGCAGTAACAACCTGATACAACCTGTAACAACCCACTTCATCGTCTTCATCATGGATTGCTTCACGGTAAAAGACGGTAAATGAGTTCTGATGGTTCTGGATATTGTGGAAGTGGTCCAACAGACCAACAAAAGGCAAACTTGAACACTCGGGCTAAGCTGACCTTGAGAACCTTGGCGGATGACAGGCACTTATACTGGTTGGATTCGTTGGCTTTGTCATCACAGCCGTTTTGTCCCATCCTCAGTTCCAGTTGTTCCAACTTGCTTCAAGGGATGAGTTAGAGAACAGTATAATATAGCAAATGGACAGATCCCCGTCTCTAAAAGTCGATTTTTTCCCCACCTGCCAGGTGAGGGTTGTTAGATTTTATCAGAGTTGTTCTTCTCCTCCTCCTCCTCCTCGACTAGCTCTCCTCTTCCTCCTCCTCGTCCTCCTCCGCCTCCTCGTCCGCCTCCTCCCCCTCCTCTTCCACTTCCACGTCCACTGTTGCCTTGCCAACTCTTCGCCAAGCTCGTCCGAGCTCAGTGTGCACCACTGGACCTCAACCTGGGACCTTCCCAGCTCAGTGTGCACCGCTGGACCTCAACCTGGGACCTTCCCAGCTCAGTAGGCACCGCTGGACCTCAACCTGGGACTTGCCCAGCTCAGTGGGCACCGCTGGACCTCAACCTGGGACCTGCCCAGCTCAGTGTGCACCGCTGGACCTCAACCTGGGACCTTCCCAGCTCAGTGTGCACTGCTGGACCTCAACCTGGGACCTGCCCAGCTCAGCGTGCACCGCTGGACCTCAACGGCCAGATAGAATGCCAGAAGA